AAGATTCTAGCCTAAGTCCATCGTGGGTTGCAGCTGCCTGGGAGAGCTGAGCATGGTGTCTCTGCTCCAGCAGAGCTGTCGGGTCTCTCTGGGAGCAGAGCAGAGTCTGACCTCACTTCCTCTTCCGCCCAGAATTCTATTCTGTTTACTCCTCCCATCTATGTTCCAGCCATGAGGCCAAGCAGCTGGTTTATTATAACTTAACCAATGAAATCAACAGATTGATATATGACACTCCCACATCATTCTCCAACACTGAGACTCATTTAGGAGGCTTTTCCATCTGAATTTGTCTTTATTGCATGCATATCTGTAATTATTTTTTGACCAAGAATGTTTTTTTTTCTTTTAAATGCTAAGTGGGTGTGGCTAGGACCAACTCCGTGGCCCTGCCTGTTGGCTTCACCCAGTCCAACATGATGTAGGCATGTTCACTGCCTCAGAGAGCCATACACATGGCCCCAACTCAAGGGTCACAATGGGTCTACTTCTCCATTAAGCAGTTGTAACACACTACTCACAGACCCCATTTAAGTGCTCAGTCTCTTGAAAGAATCAGAGCTGTTCGTGCAACTAGCACAAACCAGGAAGCCCGCCCCTAAAGAAGCCGCACAGAAGACCTCTCTTAAAGGAGCCATGATGCCCCTGTTTCGCACCAGCAAAGAGAGCCATCCAGGGGGGAAAATGTGGCTACCAAGAAGCTGCGCTAAACTCTTGTTTTTTTGTGTCTAGAGTTTTTTCCAAGCTCTCTCAGGTTTTCTATGGAGGTAGCTGCCCCACGTTGGTGTGCTATTTTGTAACCAGAGACTGCTCATTCGTTCCAGGCTGCCCAGACCTGAAATAGTCACAGAAACTATATTAACAACACTGCTTAGCCAATAGCTTCTGCCTATTTCTAGCTAACTCTTACATCTTAAATTAACCCGTTTCTATTAATCTGTTTACTGCCATGAGATGTGTGGTGTACTGGTAAGGTTCTGACTGGCAACTGGCATCTTTTTCCTTTGGCAGCTACATGGCGTCTCCTTGACTCTGCCTGCTTCCTCGATATATCTTTTCCAGCCTGGCTATATTCTGCCCTGCTATAGGCCAGAGCAGCTTCTTTATTAACCAATAGTAATAGAACATATTCATAGCATACAGAGGGGAATACCACATCAATTAACCTTTGAGCCTTCTTTACAGACCTGAACTCAGTGATTTTTAAAAACTCAAATTGTGCCCGGTGATGGTGGTGCACGCCGTTAATCCCAGCACTCAGGAAGCAGAGACAGGTGGATCTCTGTGAGTTTGAGGCCAGCCTGGTCTACAGAGCGAGTTCCAGGACAGTCTCCAAAGCTACAGAAAAACCCTGTCTCAAGAAACCGAAAAAAAAGAAAAGAAAAAAAAAAAAGTTCAAATTGTTTTGCTGTGTTTATCTGTTGGAGTCTAGTCAGAAAAGTAGAGACCACAGAGTATTATGAAGGATTTATTCAGCAGGATTTATTATGAAGAATTAATTAAATAACTATTGGAGGAAGAAAAAGTGAAGGGAACGCTGAAATAATTTGGAAGGCATGCTGAGGGAAGCCTGCCTGTTGGCATCATCAGGACCTAACTCTTGGGAGAATGTCCCTGTAATACTAGTATTCAATCTCAGGAACTCCAGATGAGGCCTGGGGCTGGATTTCTGTGTCTGGACATATAGCATACTTGATTATTGCTCCTGCCTCAGGGATGGCAGTGATGAGGCTGGCTCTGCCCGTACCAGAGACAGGGACCCAGGGTCTCTATAAACGTAAAGGATAATTGGTGGGATGGTAGTCACAGTTACTGACAGGTAATGGGGAGAAGCGAGTCCTATTAATTTGCTCTAGAATCCATATCGTGGATTCTTTGGACACAGGGCAGCATAGATTTTGATGAATAGAATCCAGGTTCATGGAGAGGGATATGGAATATGGTGATTTGATCATGGCAACAATAATAGTCTATACTGTGGTTATCATTTGATTATGTCTCCAGATTGACATATAATTTAATATCCACTTTAGCCGTGTGTAAAACTGGTCCCTCTAGGATGAGGGTGTGATTGTGTATGTGCTGGTATGTTCGCGTGAATAGTAAGTACCCTGTTACTCTAATGACCACACCTCTATTCCATGGATCATGCTTGAGATGAGTATGCCATTTATCACTTTAAGGTCACTCTTGTAGGCATTCATGTTTCATCAAGGGATATTTGTTTTTCCTCAGAAATTACTTCATCATGAGAAATCTGAAGTTGTTCCGGACTCTGGAATTTAGGGACATTCCAGCACGAGGGAAACCTCAGTGTTTCTGTCTCCGAACTGAACGGGGGACAGTGCTCATCGGCTCCGAATGTGGGCTGATTGAAGTGGATCCTGAGCAAAGAGAAGTAAGTCACCGATGAAGATGCCAGCTCCTGGCTTGGCCCTGTGCTTGTTTTCTTCTCCCCGCTAGTCCCCTCTGTATCCAAAGCAGTTCGTGGATTCCTGCGTAGTTGTCCTCTTTGCTTTTTGTAGATGGCTTACTAGATAGAACTTAAATAGTAACCAACTTTGAACTCTGCTGATCTTGTAAGACAAGCTGGCAAAGCTTTGACCTTGTAGTTTATGTGGGTCACCTCACATTTTACCCTGCCTACTGTGAATTTGCATTATAATAGTGATCAATTAGGAATGCACATGAATATTGTCCATGGGCCTTTTACATTTTATTTATTTTGTGGTGCTGGGATTTGGAACCCCATACCCCAGACTTGCAGTCTTTTAAGCATGTTAAGGCTTCTAACCCAGATGAACTAAAATCCCAGTTCTTAGTGCTTGAACTGACTGTGGATATTCCTGAAAATTGTAAGCTGATTTCAATGTTTCTTTGATTATTTGTTGCTACTCATGTGTTTTATTTAGGTGAATTGTTGTCTTTGCCCACATTGTAGAAATCTTAGGAAACTATATTTAGGGGGTTGGGCATGTAGCCCAATGGTAGAGGCCCTGAATTTGATCTCTCCATTGACAAAAAAAAAAAAAAAAAGTGCATAAAGAGTATGTATAGTCATGACCTGGAGAGATGTCTTGTCTCAGAGGTTAAGAGCACTGGCTGCTTTTACAAAGGACCTGGGTTCAATTCCCAGCATCCATGTAGCAGTTCACAACATAAATCTAGTTCCAGGGGTTCTCACCCTGTCATACAGATACACATACAGGCAAAGTCCAATGTACGTTAAATAAATAAATATTTTTAAAAGGGGCATAGTAATTAGCTTTATTTTTTATAGGATATTTTTAAAGAGACTATTTTTTTAGCATTTGTTTTGCAAAACAAGGTTAAATCAGCTATTCTTGTTAAAGACAATAGAGTTGTATCATTTTTGAAATGAAAGTTTGGGTTTTAATCTAGGGAGAAACATTTTATTTCTGGAAATCAGGTGGCTCTTGAATGTAAACACTAATCTGCTTACGTGTGTGTTTTTGTGAAAGGTGAAGACTGAAATTTCTTTGGTGGCAGAACGCTTTCTTCCAGAGGACGGGACTGGCTGCATCGTGGGCATTCAGGGCTTGCCAGATCAGGAGTCCGTGTGTGTGGCCACTGCCTCTGGGGATGTCATCCTCTGCAACCTCAGCACACGCCAGGTGGGTTAAGGGCCAGCGAGGAGGAAGTGTCAGGTAGCCTAGCTGAGCTGTTACTCGCTTTGTGTTGGGTCTTCTAATTTATAGCCATGGTATTGAAACACTTGGAAATTAAATGGCCTTACCTTAATTTCAGTAGTTAAAAAACAAATTTAGTTAAGTCTACTGCCTGTATTTATCAAATGGGACAATTGGGATGTTACATTTCAAATTAGAACTTAAAAGTTGAATAAAAACTTTTGTGGTGTTCTACCTCTTACCTGAATTTCTCAATTGAGGAAGTCTGAATTCTTTAATTGATTTATGTTTTCTGTTATGAATTCTGATTGGTAATTTAGAGTCCTTTAGTACAAGCACTACACACGCTATTGCATGCATAATATGGATGTATTGCTGTACTAATTATCTCGTACAGTAGTGCACTGGAAACAGTGTGGGACTTGAGGGGAGCTAGACTGCAACCTGTTACCTTTTCACTCTAGAAGAAGTCTCCTTTTATGGATTTCCTTCCCTTTTTTTTTTTCTTCTTCATTCAATCCCTCACCCCCCTTTTTTTCTTTGTGACAGGGTCTTCCTGACTGGCCTCAAACTCTCAGAGTTCCTCTGCCTCTTAAGTGCTGACTTGCCTTTCTTTTTCTTTTTTTTTTCAATTGTTTAAAATTTCTATGTATGAGTGTTTTCCTTCCATGTGTCTGTGAACCACATGCATGTCTGGTGCCTGTGGAGGCCAGAGGAGGCTTCAAATCCCTTGGAACTGGAGTTACAGATGATTGTGAGTTGCTCTGTGGGTGCTGGGAATTGAAGCTGGGTCCTCTGGTAAAGCAGCCAGTACTCTTAACCTCTGAACTGTCTTTCAACCCCTTTTCTTTAAAAAAAAAAAAAGTTAATTTATTATTTTTGTGTGTATAAGGTGAGTGCATGAGAGGCCATGCCATGGTAGGTGTGGAGGTGAGGGCAAGCTGTGGGAGTCAGTCCTTTCCTTGGGGCTTGAACTCAGGTTGGCAGCCTTGTGCAAAAAGCACTTTTACCCACTGAGCTTCTTTTCTTACCTTCTTAGTAGTATAATTTTCTGATCTTTTTAAAATACTTCTTTGAAGTGTAGGGCATGGAGTCTCATGCCTACAGTCCCAATACTCAGAAAGCTGAGGCTGGTGGATTGCCATTATTTCAACAGGAACAATCACAAAAAGATTGCCCAATTAATTTGATATCTCCCCCTTCCCTAGTTTGATTTGTTTTTTTTTTTTTTTTCAAGGCAGGGTTTCTCTGTGTAGACCTGGCTGTCCTGGAACTCTCTGTAGAGCAACCTGGCCTTGAACTCAAAGCAGTCTCCCTGTGCCTCCCCGAGCTGAGCCGCCGTGGCTCTGCGTGTGTCATGGGAGCTGCAGTGTTACTTAGAGTGAGATGATAATTACAGCTTGTAATTACTAATTGTTATATTATGCCAAGCCTTGTTTTGGGTTCTTTAATGCAGTTTATTTATTTATTTTGTTCCTGGCTGTCCTGTGCCTCACTCTGTAGACCAGGTCGGCCTCGGCATCACAGAGATCTTGCTCTTAGATTCACTTTATTTCCCAAGGACCTTAATAGTAGCAAGCCTTTCCGAGCAGCAATGCTTTATCTCCTTCCTGAGACTTGTGTCCCTTCTGCTCACTATGCTTAATTTTGTGTCCAGTGTCTCAACAGCTGTTCCCGAAGGCACATCTCGTGGATCTTTTCAGTTTTGGGTTTTACATTTTGATTGTTTTGGTTGAGTCCATAGTAAATCTTCATTCAGGCAATGATGTTCTAACTATCATATCCGTTTTTGATATTCTTCTCTGATGCAGCTGGAATGTGTTGGGAGCGTGGCCAATGGCATCTCTGTCATGAGCTGGAGTCCTGATCAAGAACTGGTGCTGCTTGTCACAGGTAAAGTTGTCACTGGTGCCTAACTGGCAGTGTAAAACTTGCTCCTGATGTCCTACAGTCTCCTTAGGTTCGGAAACTTCTTGGAACAGTGATAGCAGAATAAAGCCAAGTTAATCTATTCTTAAGTCTTATCTCTGCTAGCACACCAGTTGTCGTGCAGCTTTACAGCCTTTGGGACTGAGAAGCAGGGTTGAGAGCTGAGGAATCTGAGCTGAGCCATCAGTGTCAGCAGTGTTAACCCACTCTGAACGCAGGAGTGCGCTCAGCTTCCTTCACATTTGTTGATTTTGTATGCATTCTGCAGTTGAGTTTTAACCTTTTTTAAGCCCTTAAGCCCCCACAGATTTTCCTCCTGGTTACTCTTTTTCATGAGCCAGTTCCCATTCTTTGAGAAACCTTTACAGAACTCTCCTAGACTCTGCATGAGCCTCTTGTCTTTGCTTGCTCTTGGGTTCATTTTACTAATTAGGGACCTCTATATTAACACCAAGGCCGTGGGTGTAGGTGCACATGCCACAGAGTGGATGTGGACGTCACAGGACAAATTGCAGAAGCCAGCTCACCACATGGGTTTTAGGGATCAAGCTCGGGTTTTCAGGCCTGGGGTAGCAGTCGAGCCTGTCTATAAACACCTTTTCACAGCTCTTCTGGGTGCCTGCTTTTCTTTTCCTTTGATACTCCTTTTTTCAGAGAAGTTCAATTTATTTCTGCAGAAGTGTCTTGGAAAACTAGGAGGTTTTAAAGTATAGAGGAGGGCTCTGAGGACTTTCATGCTGGGTTCCATACAATCAGTCGCTAAGAATAGCATCTGGTGACTGGCCCACTGGAGCTTGGGCTTCAGAGCAGTTGGTGTGCTGTGTTCTCTCCACCCCGTCTAACCGTAATCCTCTGAGTGCTAGTGCTATGTAGGTCCCTTTGTCTTCTGTATCTTCTGTGTATCTTCCAGTGCTCTAGACACTTGGAATGGTTGATTTATTACAGGAACAAGAAAGTTTTTGATTTGTTCCCCAAAGGTCAGCAGACCCTGATTATGATGACAAGAGCCTTTGAAGTGATCGCAGAGCAGCAGATCCACCAGGAAGATTTTGGTGAAGGTAAGAGTTGGTCTGAACCAAGCTCTAACCTGAAGTTCCTCAGTTCTAGTCATTTTCTTATGCATAATACCTGCCATATGCCCAAAGAACTTCAGTCATCCCAGTTCGTAGCAGACATAAACCCCGTCTCTTCAGATCTGAGAGGTGGCTTTCTCAGTACTCTGTGCTTAAGGTTTCGTGGACATTACTTAAACCTCAGGAAAGACTTAGATGAGAATCACAGGAAAAGTGTTGTTCAAGTTAGAATAAGAAGAGCACGTTTGGAGTAGAGTTTCCTGGACCACAAGGAAGAGAGAGTGTGGGAGAAGGCAGTGTTTTCTCCATGCCTGCTCGACCAGAGTCTTCACTTTCCATGGGACTCTCAGATTTTGTTCTTGCTAAGATCTGGACAAGATCATTTGGCCTCTGAGGCTGTGAGTATATTGATGGGTCAGGGAGAGGAGATACTTGTGACTGTAAGGAGCTCTGTCAGCCGACCTGATTGAAGGAGGACTGTGAGGGGCTGTGTCTGACCCGTTAACCACGGTCTGACTTCACACTTCCCACCTTACCCACTCCAGGGTAGCATTTGGACACTGCTCTTTTCATCCCTTCAGAGTCGGGTGGTGGGGCTGCACATCTTTAATCCTAGCATTCAGGAGACAGAGGCAGGCGAGTCTCTGTGAGTTACAGGTCAGCCTGGTCCACAAAGTAGGTTCCAGGGTGTCCAGGAATACACAGAGAAACCCTGTCTTTAAAAACCAAAAACCAAACCAAACTAAAACAAAATAATACTAGAGGTGCCTTTTAGCTAAATCTTTAGAATCAAATCGAGGAGTGCCGTGAGTGCTAGAAGCACCGTTAAGCTGTTCACTTTTCCCTTAGAGCGTATGACACAGGTTCAGTGATGATTTGATGTGTAAGTATTAGGGGAGCCATAAGAGAGGAGAAAATGTCACTGGAGATTGAAGGTGGCTAGAGGATTGAGCTGAGTCTCAGTTACCTTGTGATTGATATTTGATAGACAAGGATTAAGAGTAGAGTACTAGACCAAGGCAGTTGTTCCCTATGGGCACCAAGCTTTTTTTTTTAATGTTTATTTATTATGTATACAATATTCTTTCTGTGTATGCCTGCAGGCCAGAAGAGGGCACCAGACCCCATTACAGATGGTTGTGAGCCACCATGTGGTTGCTGGGAATTGAACTCAGGACCTTTGGAAGAGCAGGCAAATGCTCTTAACCTCTGAGCCATCTCTCCAGCCCCCTGGGCACCAAGCTTTATTCAGGGACCTTGGCATAGGCAGCATGCTGGGGCGCTAGGACAGGATTGCAGGGCTAAATGATTTTGGATATTGGTGGGGTTTATATGCTGTGGTCATTTTGTTTGTTTATTTCTAATAAGTCGGCTCTTAGAGGTGTGTGTGTGTGTGTGTGTGTGTGTGTGTGTGTGTGTGTGTGTGTTAGAAAGATTACAGACACGGTGACGAGTAGGTTCCTGAGGATGAGTGTGGACCTAGAAGAAGGAATGGATTCAGGAAGAATCTAATGCTCATCAAACATATGAGTACAGTTTTTGCAATTAGCTCAGAAACTTTTGGAGTATACATTTGTGTTTTCCTTTTATCCATATCTAACATGAGAAATATCAGCCTGAAAATTGTTAGAAACAGACCTTCGATATGTCATAGAAGTGGAAAAGAGTTTGCTGTGACCCCAAACGTTTGTATGATGAGAATAAGAACAGAGAAGGAAAACGGAGACCTGCTGGTATGTGGTGTGGATGTTTTCTGGCTGTGAAGGTTTGCCATGCATGTGTAGTACATACATGCAGGACTCTGGCTTCAAGTCAGTGGTGTACAGAGAATCCTCCAATCTTCTGACCTTGTTTAGGGAGCAGATGCAGACAGTGCTAGAAGACTCTAGGGCCCTGGTGGAACTCCAGAGTTTCCAGAGTCTTGGATAAGTCTAATGAGGAACTACATTTGATGACCTGTAGCCCCTTTTACCATTAACACAAAGCTTGGTTGGTTGAAAGCTAAACATTAGAATTTCATTCCTAGCTATTGTCTTGATTTATTTGCTCTGTGATTCATGGACATAGTTTATAAATTCTTCATAGTTCATTCTGACTAATCATTTGGTCAGACTTGTGACTTGTGTCATGCTTTCCAAGATAAGGGCATCTCACCCTCTCAAGATCATTGCTGTGGATCATTATGAAGCTCGGTTTTTAACATAATGACTGATGCTCAGGATATTGAGTTGTCAGTAACTACCTTCATGAAGAATGAATGAAACGACTTTGTTTTGATTTCATCTGCTTACTGCTTGTCTTTTAGGCAAGTTTGTCACTCTCGGATGGGGCAGTAGGGAGACGCAGTTCCAGGGCTCAGAAGGCAGGCAAGCAGCCTTTCCGGTGCAGGTGGTAAGTTTGCTAGCTGTTCAGTTCTACCATCCCTGGAGCACTCCGTAGTTGAGAGAGCATCATACCAATATCTCCTGACAGTGCCCTCTGGAAATGAGTTACCCAGAGAGATACTGTTCTCTTCCTAATGTACTGTATCCACTCTCACTGTCTGTTCAGTGGAATACTTTAATTTGTCTCATCAATTTTTCTTTCTTTAAAGGCCTTTACTTGACTTAAAAGGTACAGCTTTCAGGAAACAGATTTAAAAACCCATTGCCTACTCAGAAGCAACGCTCATGGGAATGGTCTGGTATTAGATGGTGTCGCTTTAGCACTCAGTATTCCCTGCTGGTACTTTGCTGGGCTCAGTGAAGTAACTTCATGTTTTCTTGCTTTCTGTAATGAGTTCTGCCACTAATTAAAACGTGTTTATTAAGGATTACATATGCTGCACTCTGTGTGAGATATTGAACACATGATAGAAAACAAAACCTGCTATCTGCAGTGGCGTGCACACTCTGGGAGAGCACAGACGTTAAGCTGATGGTAATTGTCCTGGATACTTCTGTATCAACTTGACACGAGCTAAAGTCGTCTGAGAGGAGGAAGCCTCAATTGAGAAAACGTCTCAATAAGATTGGGCTGTAGGCAACCCTGTAGAGCATTTTCTTAATTAGTGATTGATGGGCCCAGCCCGTTGTGGGTGGTGACATCCATGGCTGGTGGTCCTGGGTTCTATAAGAAAGCAAGCTGAGCAAGTCAGTAAGCAGCACCCTCCATGGCCTCTGCGTCAGCTCCTGCCTCTAGGTTCCTGCCCCGACTTCCTTCAATGCTGAACTGCAGTCTTAAAGTGAAAACCAAATAAACCCTTTCCCCCCAGTTTGCTTTGTTTTGGACATGATATTTCATCATAGCAATAGTAACCCTAATAACCAAGACAGTCCTATATGACATTCAGGGAAAATAGAGCAGGATAAGGAGTGCTGGATATCAGCAGGTGGGACGTGGGAGCCATGCAGAGCAGGTGCCATTTGATTATGGACCTGGAGGAAGTGAAGGCATGAGCTTGTCACTATCTAGAAAGTGTTCTAGGCAGAGGGACCTACGAGTACTGAAAACGCTAAGGTTGGCTGTTGTTTTTTTTCTCAAAGACATTGAGGAGGGACTGGATAGTAGGAGAAATGTCAGAGAAGTGGTAAGGATGGGCATACTTGTAGCCCAGTGGTGCCACTTTTGCCTTCACTGCATTTGACATAGGGAACTGTTGGGAGTTTCCATAGCAACAGAATCTGGTTCATCTTCCTTAATGTACTCTGGCTCTTGTGTTCTGTTTGACTGAGGGAATCAGGAATGGCTGTGGGGAGCTCCTTTCAGTAGACACTATTGGGGACGAAGGAGGGAGTAGGTGTTACGAACGGAACATCTTAACTCTGAAACCTTTAGAAGGAACAGCTGTAGGATAGAGATCAGGTGTGGGTGTGAGGAAGACCTTCAGACTGCCAGGGTTTGGGTTGAACAATAGAAGCGTAATGTAATCTCTTACAGTTCTTAGGAGCTGTTCCTCTAGGATAGATGAACATCCTTATTCCTCTTTGTATTTCTCTGTCCTTCATATATTTTTAAAGATTTTTGTTTCTGTTGTCTATGTGTGTTTGTGAGTATAGGTGTGTTCATGTGAGTGCAGGAGCCCATAGAAGCCAGAGATGTTGGGTCCTTTGGAGCCAAAGTAACAGGTGGTTATGAGCCACCCAACAAGGGTGTTGGGAACCAAACTTGGGTCCTCTGGCAGAGGCCTATATACTCTTAGTCCCCAAGCCATCTCTGCAGCCCCATCTTTCATTACTTATAGATAGGTTGTTTGTTACACATTTCAGTCTTCAACCTGTTCATGACAGTGTTTTTCCTAGGGAGGCACAACACATGTCTACTCACCCCAGAATAGGCTCCCAGGACAGACTAAAGTACAGATGCCACCAGAGTCCAACTGGGTGAACCAGTGAATTTTAAAATGGTTTTTAAATTTTCATTTTATGTGATTGGTGTTTTAGCCTGATGTATGTCTTTGTGAGGGTGTCAAATCACTTGGAGCTGGATTTACAAACAGTTGTGAGCTGCCATGTAGGTGCTGGGAATTGAACCTGTGTCCTGAAAGAGCAGCCAGTGCTCTTTCACTGAGCCATCTTTCCAGCCCCAAACCAGTGAATTGCATTGAGTTATATTCTGGACTGTGGGTAAGAGGTTATTTACAGGAACAGAAAAGACTCAAAGACAGCTGCATTATCAAGGTCCACCCCAGCTTTGACAGTCACAAAACCTGGGAAACCTAGAGTATACTGGATAGCCTACAAGCAGCTCAACAGGTTGGAGAGGGTCCATTTCAAGTGACTCTAGTCTGAACCTTTTCCAGGCAGCTTAGCTGGTTTCTGCTTTTCCCAGGAAGCTACTGGCCTAGTCTCAGAGTCTTTGTTGCTTGACTTGTCTGAGAGAAGCCTTCAGCTAATTGCTGGGAGGGAGCTGGAGGAAGGGTCACTTGTTCCTCCTGGCCACCTGGCTCGCTTAGACCCAGAATAATCTACAGAAACTATTATTTAAATCACTGCTTGACCCATTAACTCTAGCTTCTCATTGGCTAACTCTTATATCTTGCTATATCCCATTTCTAGTAATCTGTGTATTGCCACATGGCTGTGTTTTACCAGCTGAAATTCCTAGCGTCTGTCTCAGGTGGTGGATCCATGGCTTCTTCTTGACCTCTCCTTCCTCCTTCTATGCTATAGGCCAAGCCAGTTCTTTATTCATTAACCAATAAAAGCAGTACATATACAGAAGGACCTCCACACCACGGAGGGAGGGGCCTAGTGAATCTAGTCAGTTACAGGGACTTCTTTTTTTTTTTTTTATATTTATTTATTCATTATGTATACAATATTCTGTCTGTGTGTATGCCTGCAGGCCAGAAGAGGGCACCAGACCCCATTACAGATGGCTGTGAGCCACCATGTGGTTGCTGGGAATTGAACTCAGGACCTTTGGAAGAGCAGGCAATGCTCCTAACCTCTGAGCCATCTCTCCAGCCCTTTCAGGGACTTCTTGAAGCTATTTTGAGTTTTTAACCTTCCTGCTTAAGGAGCTTCCTTGCAAGAAGGAATGCGTCATCTTAGAGAAAACTGCTTTACAACAACCTTACATTAGAGGAAGTCTGTGTTTTATGCCAAAGGACAGCAACTTAGTAATACACAGTGTAGTCTAGCCAGATCTAATCTGTGGCCAAGCAGAGCTAGTAGTACTTTGAAGTGGAGCAACCACTGGGATGGGAGATGTGTCTGGTGCTCACCTTTCTCCCACTCATAAGCTTGGCTACTTCACGGCTAGAGACACAAGTGGCACAGGAGACCCTTCTTCAGCCCATACTGCCAAGAGCAGGATTGCTGTGTCCTGTGTATGCTGCAGTGAAGAAGTCTTCTGTCAAAATGTACTCATAGCTCTAGTTCATGGGTAGACTTCTTCCCTTGCCATAGTTTCCTAACTGCTTCCCTCGCTGATTGCATTTAATACCTGTATTTGCTGTACCTCTAATGCCCAAAGAAAGAAGGCTATGTTTATTTTGTTTTTAAATTAGTCTTGATTTCTAGGATTAAGAGCCCTTCTAGAAAGGTTCCAAGAGAGTCTCTGAAGCCATTTTCTAGTGTCAATGTCATATAAAAGATGAATATTTGGTGGCCAAGGGTTGTTTGACTTGGGATCACGGTTCCCCAGTAATACTGGTGTTTCTCTCTTTAGCATGAGTCTGCCCTGCCCTGGGATGACCACAGACCACATATTACCTGGCGTGGGGATGGGCAGTTTTTTGCTGTGAGTGTTGTTTGCCCACAAACAGGTATGGAAATAAATTACACTTAAAATTTTATTTAATTAAGCTTTAGAAAAGTTTTTTTTTTTCCTTTTGCTTTGAACAGAGTATTGATTACACAGAGTGGGGAAGAGGTGCTGTCCTGGATGGCAGTGGCTTAGGATTAGAGGAGTGCTTTGAGGCCGGCTGGTCTGGCGTCACCTACCCAGTGCAAACTTGAGCATGTAGGGTAGGTGCACGTGAGAGTTATGCTCTAAGTGTGTGTGTTTGTTTACTCCACTCCCTTGCAGGGGCTCGGAAGATCAGAGTATGGAACCGAGAGTTTACTTTGCACTCAACTAGCGAGCCTGTGCCAGGACTGGGGCCCCACCTGGCTTGGAAGTGAGTATGAGAATGAGCTTAGGGTTCTTCCTGCTTTCCCTTCCATCCCTTCCTCCTGAACTCAGCTGGATCCTGGGTTCTTCACAGGGTCCCTCATCCCAGGCCCCACACTGGTTGCATCTCTGCAAAGGTTATCACTGTTGATGGGACCATCGTGGGAAACAGCAAGCAGTGCATCTAGTCCTCGTGTGGGAGGCTCTGTGAGACTAGGGGGGCTTTTCTGAGACCTGGGTGAAAAGCCGCTTTCCTCTGGAGAGAGATCCCACAGCAGGCCTTCCGCTGGCTGAGAAATCTGAAGGCTAGACTCGATTGCCTGCCTTCCCTGGCTTCCTCGGTGCAGGGCTTTGTGCGGATTACAGCTTGCCTGTTTTAGGTGCATATAGCTATAGATAGAATAAATGCACCTACTGCTGCAGCGTCTGTCACATGCAAATCCAGTAGGCCTTTAGGTTGTTTCCTACCAGTTAATACTGGTGGGACTGGGTGTTACTTAAGTGTTTGAATTAAGACATTGGAGAAAAATGCAAATGAGGCACATGGACTAAGACTATTTCAGAAGAGAAATGGTGCAGTCCCTGCCTAAGCGTGGAAGGTTCATGATCCATGCTACTGAAAAAGAAGATTACTTAGGATGTCATGCTTAAAATGGTGGAGAAAATAGACTTCTTTTTTTTTTTTAACCATTCACTTGCAATTTAAATAAAAAAGACTATGTGCAAATGGTGCTTTGCTATTTTTTCCTCTTCCGTGTTGGGGTGAGCTGCTTGTCAGAACACAAATGGTGGGCTTCAAACTTTCTCGGAATCATCACCCCCCCCCCCACACACACCCCTTTTCCTGACTAGAAAAGGGGACTTTTAATTTTTTTTTTCTTCTGACAAAAAAATGACTCTTTTTTTGTCAGTCTTCTCTGCGCTCAGCCAGCGGGACGAGCTTTTGACTGCTCTAACTCTGGCTTTTCTTTAAGACCTTCAGGCAGTTTGATTGCATCTACTCAAGATAAACCCAACCAGCAAGATGTTGTGTTTCTTGAGAAAAACGGACTTCTTCATGGCCAGTTTACACTTCCTTTCTTCAAAGATGAAGTTAAAGTAAGTGTCTGAAGTCTTTGTCGTCCAGTTAGAGCATTCTTGGCTGAGGAGGTTTGGGGTTGCCAGAGGTTAGGAATGGAGGCTGCTGTGTAGAAAAGATGGCTCTTGACTCTTAGAACAGAAGCGGCATTTCTTCTCTGCTAAGAAAAATCACAGAAAGGAAAGAGAAGTACTAGTTCTTGCTGTTTATTTTGATGACTAACTTTCCCAGCGATAAATATTTAAACATTAAGCAGATAGCTTATGTACTTAAAAACGTGGGTGGGGACACATGAAACCTTTAATTATGTAAAAATTTTTAAAAATTATGTAGGATAATCTTGTGTAAATTTTTAAGAGTTTTTTAATGAAATAACAGTTCATTAGTATTAAGTATGTATGACTAATATAATTACTATATTTAATGTAGTATGAGATATTACTGTGTTTAATAGTCAAATTTCTTGGTTTTTCTAAAAATGTTACATTGCTTTTTGTTAAATTTGTGTTTAAATCTTTAAGCATAATGCATATTTTAAGTCCTTTTTATAATACCAGTTTCACAAATTGGTTTAACAACTGTAGGTTACTAACTTAGAGCTGGAGGTCAGCTCCAGTTTTGCGGAGTTATTTGGTTTATGCGTGCAGGGGATTCAGCTATTATAAAGAGTTTGAAGTAGACAGAGGCTGAAGGTCAGGGGTGTCTTTTGTCCTTACCAGGTAAATGACTTGCTGTGGAACGCAGATTCTACTGTGCTTGCTGTGTGGCTAGAAGACCTTCCAAGGGAAAACCATCCTATTCTGAAAAGTTATGGTATGATAGCCCTTGAACTTTGATTCATGCTTCATGTATTATATCAAAGTAGAAGATTGTGGGGTTTCCTTCCTCTTTCCTCCTTAGGCCTTTGGTGAACTCAGTGTAGCCTGAAGTAGGTAGATGCTGATGGGGAGGGGTTAGGTTTGGATCTCGAGGATTTCCGTCATGAATTATTCAGAGCTCTCTAGAGAAGCAGAACCATTGGGATATAGATAGAGGAGGGCGGGGAGAGGAGAGGTCAGACTGGCTCTGTTTTAAGGAATTGACTCAAATTGTGCCTGTAGGGGAATTTCTGTGGCAGGCTGTAACTTTAGTCAGGATTTTTGTGTTGCAGTATTGAGACAGAATTCTTTCTCTCCTGGGAATCCTGGTTTATTTGTAAGACTTTCATGCATCGTGGGGGTAACCTCTTTCTTTAAAGTCTCTCAGAGAAGGGGTCTAGAGAGATGGCTCAGTGGTTAAGAGCATTGCCTGCTCTTCCAAAGGTTCTGAGTTCAATTCCCAGCAACCACATGGTGGCTCACAACCATCTGTAATGAGGTCTGGTGCCCTCTTCTGGCCTGCAGGCATACACACAGACAGAATATTGTATACATAATAAATAAATAAATAAATAAATATTTATTTATTGTGTTATATTTATTAGCAAATAAATATTCTGCTAATGGTCTAATAAATTAGCAAATAAATATTCTGCTAATGGTCTGCAGCTCGATCCTCTGGTCTCTGATAGCCTTTCTTTCCTTTCCTCCACACACAGTTCAGCTCTGGACCATGGGGAACTATCACTGGTATCTCAAGCAAAGTCTGCCCTTCAGCACCAGTGGGATAAACCAGGTCGTGTCTCTGCTGTGGGACCCGGTGATGCCAAGCCGGCTGCATATTCTCTGTCAGGGCTGGCGTTATATATGCTGTGACTGGCATTGGACCACTGACCGGAGCTCTGGAAATAGTGCCAGTGACTTGGCAAATGTGGCTGTCATTGACGGAAGTAAGCTGCTGGGAAACGTGTCGTGAACATGCATGTCCTGATCCAGGGCCTGCAGATGGGCTGGTTTAACCAGAACAGTGGGGAAATACCCGTTTGGGGTTTGCTGTGTTTGCTGTGTGACGACTGGGAGCATCATTAAAGAGAAAACATACTCTTCAGAAAAACCCTAGTTCCACTCCACCCAGCTTCCCTTTCAACCATACTTATAACCTTAGACATTGACTTGTCTGACTTTTGAAGTTGAAGATTGACAATTTCCCCGTTTTGAAGAGAACAGCGGAGCCATATGTGTGGAGCAGTGGGGTCTGTTAGCCTTGTATTGGCTGTGCATTCCACTGTGTTTGCCTTTGTTTTTTGTTTTAAGCACTGTAAGCTTATCTCTTTCTCTAGGATGCTCAGTCACATCCTAGATATTTATCTTCTGTGGGGATATTGGTGTTTTTAATTAGGTGTAGCCATCAGTGGTAGAGAACTGGATTCCCAAATGAAATAGCCATAGACAATTTGCTATAGACAGTTTTGACACTAAAGTGTTCTGTATAGTGCTTTAATACTGATTTCTATAATCCTGTTCTATACAGAGAACTTAGTCATGCCTTATTACCAATTTGTACATGGAAAAGTGCTTTTTATTGGTTGGGGGGGGTGCCTTTGTTAGATGGAGTCTTGTATATCACCCTGGTGTTCCCTGTGTAGGCCAGGCTCCTGGAACCCATGGCAGCCCTCCTGCCTCAACCTCCCAATGGTGGCCCTTCTGGTTTGGGTGGTATTGTTACTCTAGTTTAGTCTCTCTGAGCTGGAACTTTGACCTCTTGGGTTTTTTGCCCTGATCTTTGGCATCTGAAGTGTGGGCAATGTAGATCCGGAGGCCACACTAGCCAGCACGGACAGAGCTCCAAACACCCGTGCTCTTTTTACGCTAATTAATGAGGAAACACCAGGAGTTACCGTGACGGGCTGCTGCATGGTGATGCTTCCTATCTGCTTTTACACACCGAACACCCACACGGCTCTTCGTCATTTTCGTTGTGTAGACAGGCTGTTGGTAACAGTCTTCCGGCAGACTGTGATCCCACCTCCCATGTGTACCTACCGGCTGCTGATCCCACATCCAGTGAATCAAGTCATGTTCTCTGCGCCCCTCAGAAAGAGCAATGACCTTGCTGTCTTTGATGCCAGTAACCAGATCTCTGTCTACAAGTGTGGTAAGTGGAAACACCCTGACCAAGGAGCTCAGTGTGACCCCTGCTGCACAGTTGTCACAGTGCTGTCGTCCCAGCGCCAGTGCTTCCGGAATTCCGGTCATCATATTTAATTGGCTGCATTTTCTTCTCTTTCTGTCTTACTTGGTTCATGCATACATTTCCCTGTGCCTTGATGGTCCTGAAGAATCCGTTACTTGAGAATAACATTCAGCTCTGGGAATCGTGCAGCATCATCCTGTTTCACAGACTTCCCTGCTTTCTCCTTCCTTTGTACACAATCACACACAATCTTAGGACTCTCCTAGGAGCAGTCAGAGCCCTTTCCTGCTTTATAGAGGTGTGTACATGTGGCCATGAATGGGCAGTACCCGTATGCCTATGTCTTGGAAAACTTGTCATTTGGTGTTATTTCTGAGGGTCTGTGGTTGTGCCCTGACAGTTGTAACTTTGGAGTTTTAGTGAGGACAAGCCTCGATAGCATCTGAGAGAGTAATCAAAGCTGGTCAGTTCACAGTGGACTTCCTGCCTTCACATCAGTTCTTAAACAGGCAGCCTGCTTTTCATGGGATCTCTTTGGACAGATCACCAGCTTCTCTGTTTCAGTTCCACTCTGTGCAGTGCTGTTGTTGCGGCTTTTAAATAGGTCATGCTCACCTATTTATTAAATAGGTTCATTGTCAGGGCGATAGTGTGTCAGCTGGTAAGTGCTGCGCAGCACAGTCAAGCGTACAGTGACATAGAAGAAAGTGAGGGGGAGGGGTAGTAGACTGTTGGGGGACAGTGTCCCCAGGAAGGCTTCTCTGTGAGGTAGTCCTTGAGCAGAGTCCTGGGGAGAACCAGAGAGAGAAATGGCACATGTGGACAAGAACATTCCAAGCAGTCGGGTCAGTGACCATAGGAGGACAGTTGAGAGAGGAGAGTGGTGGGTGGGACTTAGAGGTGACAGGGAGCAGCTCTTATAGGGCCTTGAAAGCCTTTTCTCCGAATGAGCTAGAAGCCATTAGAGAGCTTGGGACAGGGTGCAGGGTTTTAGAGGATTGTATTGGCTGCTGTCAGTGAGCTAGATTAACAGTGGAAAGACTGTAAAGGCTGAGGACTGTGGAGGGTGTGAGACTACTGAGAGATGGCTGGGGACAGTGGAGATTGATGATAGTGTTGGGGAAGACGGCCTCCCCCTGCCCCTGCTGGTAAATACTGTGGCTGACATGGTATTAATAGAAAGCAGGTTTGGATGGAGCCTGAAAGGTATGTGGAGATTGAGGAATGGGGTTGAAATGTCATTATTTTTTAGATTGCTTCATTTGTCTTCTAGAGCCCACAAGTTGTAAGATCCTGCATTCTTGGTGTTAGAGCAATAGCTTGCAATGATATTTGCATTTTTGTTTCCTAGGTGATAACCCAGACTTGGATCCCACAGTGAAGCTGGGAGCTGTGGGTGGAAATGGATTTAAAGTTCCTCTTAGCACTCCTCAGCTGGAAAAGAGATACAGGTAGGTTCCTGAGTAGTTTTGTGTCCCTGGGAGTAGGATCAAGTAGCATTTTGTCCTGAGTTCATCCAGCCTGTGTTCTGGGAAATGTGAAGTAGGCCATAGCTGAGGCTGGTGAGGGAGGCCGGTCACTTAGTGTACTGGTGCTCTGTATCCCACAGCTGCCATCTCTAAGGAGACTCCCGTGAGAAGATGGAGGTAAAGACACAGGGCACAGTTGCACTCACTCACGTAAATGGGGATATACATGGTGCTAGTTGTGAATGACTGAATTCAGGCTCTATCTTGGTCTTGTTCCAGATTACAGAATTTCTGGGTGTTGTAATTTTAGACTCTCAGGTTAAAATCAGAGTGCACTTTCCCGTTGATGCAGTGGTACAAACTGTTTGGTATGATTAAGAACCTCGGATCCACTGGAGGCATTTACAGAAGGGCATGGGAGCCAAATCCTAAGTCCTGGCTACAGAGCACCAACAAATAAGAGAACAGAATTAGAGGATAAGTAATGGCTTACCCAGGATCATGGACCTGCTAAGTGCAGGAGCCAGAGTTTGATTCTCTTCAGTTTGGAATGTTTCTCTTCTTAATTACTAGGTACACCCAGTACAAAATTAATAGAAACAGGTACATCAAGTAAGAGAATCTAGAAATGGATTTTTAGGTGTGAGTCATGTATCTAATATATCCATAGTTTTCAAGGAAGTCTATGCTGTGGTGCCTGCATATGGAATGCTGGGGAGTTCTTAGAGAGCTTGTATTCCTTCGTTGTATGTTCTGCCAGGCAGCTCCAGTTACCACACTAAATCCCTGAGATCTGGCAGCTTGACTCCTGGTGTTTGGGGCTCTAACCTCTCGGCCCCATTGCTTTGGCTCAGGCTTCCTGTTTGTAGCACCTCATGGCAACTGTGGGTAGAGAACTAGACTCCCACACCTCTTCTAGTGAGAGACCCTGGGGTGAATGGTATTCTTGGGGATGGCACCTGCAGTTGTCCTCCAGCTTGCACATGAACACATGGGACAGACAGACACATATAAGAGTCACAGCCTCAGTTCCTTGGCATGCATATCATTTTACTGTTTGTTTATTTATTTATTTAATCATCCCTATTAATTTTACTGTGACTCCATGTAATGCTATGACCTATTATTTACACAGTTATGGCTTAGAATATATTAAAAATCAAGAGGAAGGAAAATCCCAGTCATTCAGAGAAAATAGGAGGACATGAGTCTTTATTTTGATCCTTGGGGAAGAACTGCTTGAGGTTGGGAAAGAATTGGGAGGAAGCTGGTGAGAACCAGAGCCAGGAAGGCCTGTGTGGTGAGGACTGTGGGCGAGGTGTGCAGTGGAGACAGTGTAGAGGGGGACCTGAGGGAACAGGCAGAGCAGACTAAGCAGAGCAGCTAAGCTGACTTGCCCCTGCACCCAGAGGACAGGAATTCTCCTTTGTGAGGTGACAAAATGATGCCCAGATCAGGAAAGTGTTAGAAGCAAGGACTCTATCCCCGGTTTTAGTTGATTGGATGTGAGGTGCTCTGGAAAGGGTCCTGTATCTTCTGAGGCAGATAACTGCTGGTGACGGATTGAGTGCCGGCCATTGGTATCTTGGGAGAGCCCTGTGGTTTAATAGCCTAGACACAAGGGTGAGAATTTTCTTACATAGCCAGTTTCAAAAGAATACTCATCAAATGTAAAGATCTTAGGATATGAGGAAGTGGATTTAAAATAAGTCCTACATTCTTAAGTCAGGCAAACATTATTTTGGAGTGTTCTGGTATTTGGTATTCACATAAGGCTTTTTATTCTTGAGACTCTGATGCATGTGTCCAACGAAATATGATCCCATCCATTCCCATTTCCTTCTAGCTCTGCTTTGCCATCCCCCCTCCCAAACGTAATCCTTCTACCTTTCTTTCTTCCTTTCTTTCTTCCTTTCTTTCTTCCTTCCTTCCTTCCTTCCTTTCTTTCTTTCTTTCTTTCTTTCTTTCTTTCTTTCTTTCTTTTTTTTTTTTTTTTTTTTCGAGACAGGGTTTCTCCATAGCTTTTTGGTTCCTGTCCTGGAACTAGCTCTTGTAGACCAGGCTGGTCTTGAATTTACAGAGATCCGCCTGCCTCTGCCTCCCGAGTGCTGGGATTAAAGGCATGCGCCACCACTGCCCGGCTATGTCTCCTCTTTGTATAACTTACCAAGTCCAGTATGACCCATATGTGCATGAGTGTGGAGCCATTCACTGGAACTTGGGCTCCTACCCAGTGCCACGTCCTCAAAAATGAGCATCTGCTGCAGCCACTATGAACTGCCAGTGGATCCCTAGGAAGGCTGGGGCCTGGAGTCATCCATACCATCTGTGCAGGTCCCTACTGCTGCTGTGAATTCGTGGTTGCGTTAGCCTCGTCATGTCCATTCTTTCAGTCTCCTCTCCACGGCTCCCGGAGTCTTAGGAAGTGAAGGGTGGTGGTTGGTACAGATGTTTTATTCAGGGCTGTAGCGCGAGTTCTGTTTCTTTAAATAATGAGGTGACTGTAGTTTTCCTTTATAAGGAAAGGTTTTTTTTAAAGTTCTCATCTTGGACACTCTTTACTATTCGAAACAGAATTCAGCTTGGGAACGGTGAAGATGAGGAGGTAAACCCGCTGCAGCTGAGCTTTCTCACCTGGATTGAAGAAGCCGTTTTCCTGGCCATAAGCCACAGTCACACCAGCCTGCAGTCTGCCATTTGCCGTCTGACTGTGGCTCCTTCTGAGGCGGATGAGGAGCAGGGACAGCTGGTTGTCAGGTATCGTGGTTCATTCGTGTATTCAGTATGTAAATTGGCCGTGAAGTTACACATTGTGTGTATGGACACAGGGCAAGACTTCCTTGTTAGACAATAGATCAAAATTGTGTCAAGAAATAGTAAAATGGAGCCTTCAAATAAGCAAAACATTTTGTAAGTTGTATATTTTATTTAGTTATCCACTGAGATTTCACAAAGTAAGCATTAGAGTTTACTATTGATTTTAATAGATAATTACCGTGGTCAATCCTCATGGGCCATTGTAGTAAAGAAACTACATTTACTTTTAAGTAGTATCATCAAACTTGGCCCTCCTCTTCTCTGTGTGGGATTGTTTACACTAGAAAGCCTCTTTCTTTGCCAGTTCCCCATCCCCGGGCCTGAGCGTGTTTGACTCATGACTTTATCTGTGTCACATAACAGTGTTGACAACTTAAGAGATTTCTGTCATTCAAGTCCTGGGGTATAGAAGAGAAAATTTCTGGCTAGCTCCCAGAATGCTTCAGGTTTCCAGTGGAAGACTGGCTGCTTAGTCTTGTGCTCATTGGTTTGTAACTAAAGCTCTACCTGTTACCATGGTGACGTTAGCTCACAGCTTCATGCTGTGGAAGAAGCCTGCTGTGAAGATCTCTGCTGGCTGTGTTCTACATTAGATCCGTGCTGCCCAGAGTTCCACGAACCCTGCTTTCTGACAACACAGCAGTGGGTTAGAAATGTCTACACTGTGTAGTTTCCACTGTCTTCAACAATAGTGTTCTAAGTAAAAAAGTCATTTATAGTTCTGATGTTTTCATTTTTGTTTCTCAAAAGACTACTTTTTTGTTCATATAAATACTAATGTCTCTAAGAGATGGTATGGCACTCAGTCTTAAGTGTTGGTAGCCTGCATTTACTGTGGCTATGCACTGTAAGCATGCTCTTCTGTGTGTGTTACCCATATGAATCCATTTATTCTCTTTACACCTCTTTGACATATGTGCCCTCAGCACTATGTACTGTGGACTTGCCTCTGAGGTCTAAAGAATCAGCTGACTGGTCTGGTCAAGCAGGAGTCAGATCCAGTCCCATTGTCCTGCTCAGTCTTCCCAGACTCTCTGGAGGGTAGTTTGTCCCTCATTAAATAGAGTCTACTTCTCTATCTTTCTTTTTTTTCTTCCTTCCTTCCTTGCTTTCTTTCTTTTTAAAGATTGGTTAAAAATAAACGTCTTGAGTGGAATCCTAGCATTGGATTTGTTTCTGTAGGTGCCTTCTCCTTTAAGAAATTGTACTTTTCTCCATCATTTATTTATGTATTTAGTGGTCCCAAGGGTTGAACCTGGAACCCTGGATATGCTGGGGGAAGCACATATCATCAACCTTCTTATTTTCTTTGTTTATGGGTCTGTGCATCATGTACATGCAGTACCTGTGGAAGCCAGAAGAGGGCATCAGATCTTCTGGAGCTGGAGTTATGAGGAGTTGTGAGCGCCCTTGTGGGTACTGGGGACCGAACTGGGTCTTTTGTAAGAGCAGCCAGTGCTCTAAACCACTGTGCCATCTCTACAGCCCCACTCAGTGCTCCTTTTACTTTTTCTTGAGACAGTGTTTCAGTAAATAGCCCTGGCTGACATTGAATTCAGACTGTAGCCTAGACTTCTCCGGAGCTTGCAATCCTCCCTAAGTAGCTGTGAGATTGATTACAGGCTGATCTCACCAAGCCTACCTGATGCAGTTTATTTATTAAGAAGAAAGGTGGGTATTGTGGCACATGCTTTTAATCTCAGCATTTGGGAGACAGAGGCAAACAGATCTCTGAGTTCAAGGCCAGCCTGGTCAACATAGTAAGTTCCAAGATAGTCAGAACTACATAGTGAGACCCTGTCTCAAAAACAACAAACACACACACCAACAAAGAATATGTCAGGAAGTCAGTACACTGCAGTACATTCTAATGAGCTGCCACGTGAGTAGGGAACAGGTAATCCCTTCTCCATCTGTGACGCTTCCACTTTGTGAGTAAAGAATATATGTGTTACATCAACATAGGCAGTGTGTCCCAAAGTATCATGTTAGTTTTCACTGTGGGAAAATCAGTGAATCCATTTTTAAGAAAGACTATCTTTTTTACACTTATCTCCTGGTTTTTTTTTTCCTATGTATGTGTGTTTTGCTTTAGTTCATCTGTGACGGTGGATGGGGTCATCATTGGTTTATGTTGCAGTTCCAAAACCAAGTCATCTGTGGTCCAGCTGGCTGATGGCCAGCTACTCAGGTGCTTTTGGGGTGAGTATCGGAATTTTAGGAAAACAGAATTACAAATAAATAGTTCTTGAGACTATGTACTTGTGAGTATCTTGTCAGCACTATTGGATTATTTATTGTTTTATTCATTTTTATTTTTTTATTTATTATTTATTGATTGATTGTTTATTACCAATCGTTTTTAGTTATTATTGTTTTTGGCATACAAAGTGAGTTTTCATTACGGCATTTCCATGCATTGTTTTTGTTGATTGCCCTTCCCCACTTCTCTCTCATCCCCCGTCCTGGAGGTCCTCTAACTCCCTTCTGTGTGTATGTCACTTGCATTCTGTTGCCCTCTTTTTTTATTCCCCACCCCCCTCCCAGGGCCTCTTCTTCCCATCTCTTTACCTCCTTCGTAGTGTCATGGCCTATACCTACACTCCATACGCATAAAGAAATTAAAGTCTAGTGTCTTTGTATAAGAGAAGCGTGCAGTGCTTGTCTTTATGAATCTGAATAGTTCACTTGGTTGGTTGTTGTTTTTTGCTTGTTTGCCTTGCTGGATTCCAGCCCAGGGCTTCATGCACCCTTGGCAAGCACTGTATTACTGAGCTACACCTCAGCCCAACGGCTAAGCCTCCTAACCCTGGATGCCATGCTGTAGAACAGTGTTGACAGACCCAGTCTGCTCCTGTTTGAAATAACCTATGGCTACTCTAGAGAAATGTGGAGAAGTCCAGATTTCTGTGTTTTTGTGTTGGCTTCTTTTGGGGGGTGAGAAGGGGATGTTGTTTATTTTGTCCTTTCAGTGCCTCACAAGAAAGAGCTGGTGAGCTATTTGTAAGCTAAATTTGCCAATCTTACTACAGACTCACCGACTCTGACTGTGGAACCCTGGAAGAACGCTGAAGGATTTCCTGTTCAGTTTGCTCACCCGTGCACACAGGTGGAAGTGGCCGTGATTGGAGGACAGGTAAATCAACACAGCGCAGGGAAGTTCACCGTGGAGAACAGATGGTGCCAAGGACAGTGGGTGGGAAAGCAGGGGTCTTGCAGCTGAACCTGTGTCACCACCAAATCCCAGGTCGTGACAGGAGATTCCTGCTCTCTCTTGGCCCCCGCCCGCCTTCTTCATCTAGAAAAGGGGAAAGTCAGTCTTGTAAAATTCAGGAGAGAATTAAGAAAAACCTCAAAGCCTGTCCTCAGTAGCACACCTTCTCCAACAAGGCCACACTTCCTAGTCCTTTCCAAATAATTACACCACTGGGAACCAACTATTCAGATACATGGGCCTATGAATGCCATGGTCATTTAAGCCACCATCTTTTGATATGGATAGGAGAGTGAAGGCAAGGAGCCAATATATGATGGTAGCAAACAGTGAGGTGTTTGGGGATAACTAGAGGATGATAGTTAAAGTCTCCGAGGCAGTGGTTAGTGTGCAGAGACATAGAGAACACTTTTCCTAGAAAGGAGAGTAGTCCCAGGAGAAGGTTCTGGAATTACCTGAGTTTAGAAAGATGGCAGGGTACACGGCAGTACACAGCAGATGCTGCAGACCACAGCCCCCTGTTGTGCATCCTGGCTCGGGCCCTGCCTTAAGGTACAAGCTGTGCTGTTCTTCCCACTTGAAGTGGCACAGAGCAGGAGGACGACTCTGTCCCTGCCAGGAGTATAAGTCACTGTTCAGTAAGACTTCACTTGACACAAATGAACAGAAATGTTGGGCATGAAGAGAAACAAACACTACTTTTTCCTTTAATCTGATAAATAGTTAGCAGTGAACTCCTTTACCCTCGCCCATGTTTTTAGTCATCAGAGAGATGTGTTCTCCGTCGTGTTGGATATGTGGTTCTAGCTGCCCAGAGGAGAAGGTTGGAGAGGGATGGAAATAAGAGGGGAGGTCAGTGTAGACTTTTGGGTGTGCAGTCAAAGAGAGGAATGAGATCTATTCAAAATGAGTGGAGTCGATAGAGTGGCTTCCTTGATTGGGCGGTGGCATATCCCTGAGCATGGCACTAGCCTTGTCTTAGACAGAGGCTCAGGGAATCACAGAGCACTAGAACTGCATGGTGAAGACCATAGGTGTAAGGGCTTGTGAATAGAGTTGCGTGTAATTTTACTTTTGCTTCTTTGCAGGAGTGTGTCCTTGGACTGACTGACAGGTGTCGCTTTTTCGTCAATGACACCGAGGTATCTAGGCTTGGGTTGGGTTGGTCTTTCTCACAGTGTTCTTCCCAAGAACAAACTCTAACTTCCCTTGGGCTTAATTTGCTTGTTGCAGGTTGCATCAAATATCACGTCATTTGCAGTGTGTGATGAGTTTTTACTGTTGACAACCCATTCCCATACCTGCCACTGTTTTTCCCTGAGATGTGCTTCACTTAAAAGTAAGCTTTTTCTCTACAAAATGGGGGTTTCCCCTTTTCTAGTGTCTTGAAGTCTTGATGATTTTTAAATTCTTTACCTACTTTGGCTGTTTACCAGAGTCCTGGTCTCATTTATTATCTTATTTGATGCAGTATATATATATTTTTACATTGTGTCGGTGTATGTGCAAATGTGCATACCTTTACCTTTGTGAATGTGCATGTGGGCAAACAGGTGTCCATGGAGACCGGAGGCATTGCATACTCTGGAAACTGGAATTACGGTCAGTTGTGAGTTGCCCAGTGTGGGCATTAGGAACTGAGCTTGGGTCCTCTGAAAGAGTAGTGCATACTCTTAACTCTTGAGCAGCCTCTCTAACCCCTCAACATAGTATCTTTGCTAAACCATTCTGTTTCAGTTCCTAGAGACTTCACAAATCAAATCCTAACTTAAGTAACACATTCTAAAATATTCTTGATGAAGTTTTATTAAACAGATCATCTAATACTTTATAGATCCCCTACAGGCTATGTGCTCTAACTCTTCGTCGTGATTCTTTCTCATTGCTCAACTATCATTGTACTTCTGGACATCATCTTGTGGTTTGTGGGGGATTAGCACTGAGTTTTGTTGCATTGCCTCCCCCTCTCCCCGGTATTCCTTATTCTGAAAGGCCAGCTTATTTTTCTTGTGGCTGACTTGGAAACAGGAACTCTTTCTGCCATTGGTATGATTATAGTGTGAAGGTCATGCTAAGAAATAGAAATGCTGCTTCAGTTCCTGTATTTCCCAGTTGCTTAGGAAACTGTGTAAGTGAGTGTGTGAGGGTCCTTTGCAGCAGGGAGATTACAGGAAGGCCCAGGGGTCTTGAAGCTGAGTGGGAGAGCAAAGGGACTTGCCATTAGCTGAGTTTCAAATACGGGGCATATTCAGCGGGAGTTAATGGAGTGTGGCCTTGCTGTGGTCATTCTCAAGTCTCAATAGTGGTATTTTTAGTGTTACAGACTGGTCTGTGCGGCAGTAATGAGGCCAACGGAGAAAGCCTGCGGAGAGTGGAGAGGGGCTCCCGGATCGTCACAGTTGTTCCCCAGGACACAAAGCTTATACTACAGGTAAGCTCGGTCCTTCAGACTTTCTGTTGTCACTTAGTCACCTCCACAGAGTACTTAGGTGTTGTAGGAGGCTGCTTGTTCATTTCATGGTCGCCCAGACTCCTAAATAACCACACAGAAACTGTATTAATTAAATCACTGCTTGACCAATCACTATAGCATATTTCTAGCAAGCTCTTACATATTAAATTAACTCCTTTTCATTATTTCATAATTACCACAAGGCTCATAGCCTATCAGCAAGGTTCCAGTTGGCGGCTCATGTCTTTCCCCTCTGGTGGCTACATCGCAACTCTCTGACTCCGCCTTCTTTCTCCCAACATTCAGTTTAGCTTTCCCACCTTGCTCTACTCTGCTAAGCCACTGGCTGAAACAGATTCTTTATTAACCACTGGTATTCACAGTATACGGAGGGGATTCCCACATCATGTACAGGCTGCATTTTAGGCTCTATTGTACTTTTCAGCCTATTAAAACCCTTCTTTCTTGGCTCTCTATTGGCCATGAAGGAATGTTGATTAATAAAAGCTCTGATCAATAAGATTTAAAGAGTTAAGTGGAACTGTAGCTTCTACTGCTTCAATGATTTCCAATTGATTAGAGATGTTTGATTTCTTTTGAGATGCCGAGGGGAAACTTGGAGGTTGTTCATCATCGGGCCTTGGTCTTGGCTCAGATTCGGGACTGGCTGGACAAGTAAGCTGCCTGTGACTGTTCCTGTGTGCACGTAAGGACATGTAGTCCAGGCTCCTGTGGTAACTAACTATACATTTGGAAAAGAAAGTAATGTGTCAACTGTTAGGTTTTTCCTTCTGTAGATTTAGACTGAAAATTGGGTGGACTTGTTTATTATGTGGGTTGTAATCTGAATATAGCCGGTCTGTGTTGTAATGAAAATATACTAGGCCAGGGAACTTAGTTTCTCATGAAATATGCTTTTTGTCCATTTTCTCTGTCTTTGCAGTCTTATGTTTAAGGAAGCATTTGAATGCATGAGAAAACTGAGAATTAACCTCAATCTGATTCACGATCATAACCCTGAGGTAGTTTGCGCATCTGACTTATCCTCTGACTTTACTCTTGAGCAAAAACGATGTGAACTGTAATGCTGTGCTCTTTCCTTCGATAGGTATTTCTTGGGAACGTTGAAGCCTTCATAAAGCAGTTAGATTCCGTAAATCATATTAACTTGTTCCTCACAGAACTGAAGTAAGTATTTTGATAATTCGTGTGCATCATATTCTAAGTATTATCTCTTGATAAAGAAATCAAACTCATATAGCTGGAGACCAGAAGTCTCTTTAAACATAAAAAGTCACTGTCACACTGGTGGCCAGCAGGGCTTCTCCTCTAGACCTTTAGCAATGGCAGTTTTAAGCTCTCCTCCTGAACTGTTATTTGGCTTATTTCTTAGGTTTGCTGTAAAACTATTCTTCTCATGAGATTGCCATCAAATATGATCCTTTCTCTGTAATGATTTTTCCCAACTTCTTAGTGAAACTTTTTAAAACTAGGAAAATGCTGACTGTTGGGAATGTCTAGTGCCACCACCCAGGCTCTGTAGTTCCTGCTGTCCTGTCCACACACCCTCTTCTTGTTTTAGATAATGGCAAAGGAAGTTGAAGCAGCACTCCATTTATTTCACCTTGCATAGCGTTGGCTAGAATATGCTCTTAGTGTGGGGTAGTTAACTGCTACAGAATGTCTAGTACTCCGTCCAGTGAGTTTCCCCACGTTTCCACATCATTTAATCCAGCACATCCACTCTCCACTAGTCCTTGTGCCCCAGCTCTTGGGCAGCTACTGTTTCAGCACAGGTCAGCCTTGTCTGTTTAATTACATAATCTAGCCAGAAAGTATTTACTGTGGTGTGAATATAGCGGCGTTCACTGCTGGAGTTGAGCTCAGCCGTGTTTTGCATGCATCACTAGTTCATTCATTTTGAATTGCTCATGGTGTGCTGCTGTGTAAATTACACTATCCTTTCTTCATTCTCTGGTTACCTGGACACCTTGGTTGTATCCTGCTTTAGACTTTTGTGGGTATGTTTGATTTCTTAGTACTTGAATAATTTTCCTGGTCTCTTTTTGTTTATTGTCTCAGAAGCCTGCCTAATGTATGCTAGTAGTTGGGTCACCAGACTGTTTGGTAAGTGACCTGTTCATACCTTTGGTTCTTAGGGAAGAAGATGTCACAAAGACTATGTACCCTCCACCGGTGCCCAATACTGTCCAGACATTCAGGGATCCTGACAAGAAGAAGCTTGACCTGATCTGTGATACCATGAGGGTAGCTATGGAGAACATCAATCCTCACAAGTGGGTGCTGTTTTATTGTTGGCTTCTCTGGAACAACAGGGTGTGGAGATAGATGTCTTTGTCCAGTTTATTCTTCCTGTCATTCTGGTGTTTCCCTTACTGCCTCAGGTACTACCTGTCAATACTCACATCTCACGTGAAGAAAACGACCCCGGAACTGGAAATTGTGCTGCAGAAGGTACACAAGCTTAAAGGTAGAGACCTGCACACAGACACCTGCTTGACTTGTTCTTGACAGTCATTGTTCTTGACCATCACTGTGTCACTGCACTCCACAGAGTTAACAGATGGCTCTTTGGGTCACCATTTTCAAATGTATTGATTTTGAGTGCAGAGCATTTTATGAATGAATTGAAAATATATGTTCATCTTCTGTCCCAGTCTGTCAGAAAATCTTAACACTTGGTCTGTTCTGTTCTTGTTTCTTTCATTCATATAAGTGTGTGTGTGTGTGTGTGTGTGTGTGTGTGTGTGTGTGTGTAGGCAAGGCTCATACTGGCCTCAGACTCACCATGCAGCTACAGATGACCTTGAGTTTCTGATCCTCCTGTCTCCACCTGAGTACTGGAACTACAGAAGCACACCAGCATATCTGGTTTTATGTTGCATGGGGATCAAATGCATGGCTTCATGTGTGCTAGACAAGCCCCTGACTGACCAAGCTCTTCTCTCACCCTCTTTTTCCTTAAACACCAGCGAGAAATGCTCCCCCTGGTCCTGAGACTGTGAGTGCAGAGGAGGCCTTGAAGTACCTGCTGCTCCTGGTAGATGTCAACGAATTATATAATCATTCTCTTGGAACCTATAACTTTGATTTGGTTCTCATGGTAGCCGAGAGGTCACAAAAGGTATGTGGAGTTCATATTTTTTGCACCATTTTGAAACTTGTTAATCATCCTAGTGTGGGACCCTGCTCTTTAGAGAGCGATACTCTATCTAATGCTATGAGTGGATACAGATTCGAGTCTCCACAGTGGAGTTGATTTTTTTTTTTTTTAACTCTTTGGGGGTTTGCCACCCAACTCCCAAATGAAAACATGGAGGCTTATTCATGTTTTGCCTTTGGGCTTTTTACCTTTCTTTATTCTATATATCTTTCTTTTTTTCTTATTCTGTGGCTAGCTATGTTACTAGGTGGCTGGTCCCTGGCGTCTTCTCCGTCTTTTCTCGCTCCTCACTCTCTTCCCTAGATTTCTCTTCCATTTTATTCTCTCTGCCCGCCAGCCCCACCTATTCCTCTGTCCTGCCTAGCTACTGGCCCTTAAAGTCTTTATTAGACCAATCTGGGTGGTGGGCAAAGTAAAACAGCTTTACAGGGTTAAACAAATGCCACATAAAAGAATACAACACATATTTTCATTATTAAACAAATATTCCACAGCATAAACCCATGTAACACATCTTAAACTAATATTCCACAACACCGCAGCTGGTGTTCCTAAACCCTGTATATTTCTATGTGTATCCACTTTTCTTTTTTAATTAGGATCTCTTGCTGACTTGAAACTCACTAAGAAGAGTAGGTTGGCTGACTGGCCAGTATGCCTCAGGGATCTGACTGTGTCCCCTTCTGCCCTAGTGCCAGAATAACAGGCCCATGCCGCCAGGCCTGGCTTCTGTGTGGGTTCTGGAGATCTAACTCAAGGTCCTCCATGCACTAAGCTGTGAATCAGCTTAGTAGGCACGGTACAGAGCAGGAGGTGGTAGAACTCATAGACTCGGGCCCAACTCAGTACATTTTATCTTCATAATTGGCGTGGGTGCCATGTCACCAGGCCTGATTCTTTTAGGGGTGCTTAGGTGACTGTCTTCTAGACTATAGGCATGTTGTTTTCCTTATCAGCCTGTGATGGAGTTGATGTTAGTCATTACTATTCCAAATTTAAACTCATAATTCCCAAATATGAAAGTAGTTTTCCCAAAGCTTGTTTTGATTTAATGTATTATATGATATATAACTGATATATAAGTATAGCATACATTTAAAATAGTCTCTTTTTATTGTCTTCATTAGAATTTGTTACATAATATTACAAGTAATAACTCTTTATTTTTAGGATCCTAAGGAATATATTCCATTTCTTAATGCACTTAAGAAAATGGAGATTAATTACCAGCGGTTCACCATAGACAAGTACTTGAAACGATATGAAAAGGCTCTTGGGCACCTCAGCAAGTGTGGTGAGTATGGGGATAGTGTTTACTACTGCTTCAAAGCTTCTTCGGAGCCAGGCAAGCTTTAAGTAAGATAGAAAATTACCCTAGTCCAATGACTTCAGTTCCCTCCACTCTGAAGAACTTGATGATTGCATGTTCGTTCACCTTTTGTTTCATGCCCTGAAAGTAAAGCAGGTCTCTCTTCCTGAGCTGGGGGACCCTTGCTGAGAGCAGGTCCTTTGTGGGTTAGGACTGAGCTCCTCCTAAAATCCCTTCAGTGCCTTGATCAGAACTAGTGGATAATCCCATCACATGGTGTCTGTCAGTATGCTTGCCTACAGTGAGTGGTTTGCACTTGTGCAGTTTAACAGGCAGTGATGGTGTAGAACCACACACCTGCGCTGTCCAGTTCTGGAAAAGTTATGACTTGTCACTGAGGACACCTGTGGTGCCTGTTAAGTGTGCAGTCATCTACTTCATGGACACTCTGATTCAGCTGGACGGGAGTGAGGCCCGGGGGGAGCGTTTAATGAGCTCCCAGGTATTCGTTTTGAACTTGAGGAGGTATTGAGCAGAATTCCTAGTGCATCCCTGTCCAACCTGATCTCTTACCTCGGAATGTGGAGCAGTGCTCACCAAAAATTCTGATTTGAAGCTGTTCTTTAAATTGTAGAAACTGTAAAAGGTTCATGGTTGGGAGGAGATGAGTGATGGCCAAGTCAATAAAGTTCTTGTTTTGTAAGCAGGAAGACCTGAGTTCATTCCATAAAACCCACACAAAAAGCTGGGTTTAGTGGCAGGTGCTTGTAATCTGAGCTTTAGGAAGGTGTAAGGAGGATCCCTGGGTTCCATTGGCCAATCAGCCTACTTGGCAAGCTTTCCACAGTGAGAGACCCTGTCTCAAAAATCGAGGTGGACAGTGCCTTCTCAGGAGTGTCGGCCGAGGACATGAGGACCAACAGCTCAGGCTATCCTCTGGCCTCCACATGCATTCTCACACAGGGGCACATGAGCACACATAGAAAAGTTCCACATTACTGTTGCTTAGGAAACATAGGTGTAAATGAAAGCCATTATACTTCCACAGTCTTATACCTGTGTTTTTGTAAATCTTATTTTTGCAGGACCTGAGTATTTCACAGAATGCTTAAATTTGATAAAAGATAAAAACTTGTATAAGGAAGCTCTGAAGTTATATCAGCCACAGTCACTGCAGTACCAGGTGTGTGGTAGGTGAACTGTGAAATGAGGTCTCCTGATTCTGCTTTGCGAATTAGTTGGACGTGAGGACATGTTGAGTCCAAACACTGTCCTTGGCTTCACGGTTTGTCCTACAACCAGTCAGTCTAATCTTGAACTTGTTAGGAGAAATCAGCAAGGGCAAAAGTATTTCAGGCATTCTTTGTTTATCTCTAGGTTTTTTTTATGTACCAGGTACTTTGCTTCTAAGTTAAATGTGTTATGTGGTCCTCCTTATAAACTGGTGGGTGTTGTGCCAGGTACAGATGGGGCCACAGCTTGTGTAAGAGTCAGAACTGCAGAGTGGCATGCCCGGATGCTGACATGAGGCTCTGTGAGCACCAGTGGCCATCCATTCCTGTCTGTTACACTCTGCCGTGCTGCTGCCAGCAGGGTTTTCGTTTGTAAATTATGTGCACGTTCTTCTAGTTTACTTTCCTAGTGCTGTGATAAGAACAGTGTGAGGAAGAAAGGGAGGAACCTGAGGCAGGAACTGAAGCAGAGACCATGGAGGAGTGCTGCTAACTGGTTTGCTTGACGGCTCATGTTCAGCGTCCTGTCTTCCCTAGCTCATGCCAACGTGCCCAGTGAAGACACTGCTGCTCATAGTGAGCTGGTTCCTTCTGTAGCTGTTAGAAATCAAGAAAGAGCCCCACAGACATAGCCACACGGCACTCTAATGGAGGCATTCCTCAGTGGAGGGTCCCTCTTCCCGAGTGTTTTGACAACCAAGATGAGCTATCTATCACACAAGTCTCTCTGTGACTGAGCCATGCCAGCTGTTCATTATTATTACTATCATAGTTATCATTATTCTTATCTCTGTGTGTGCACCGGGTTCATGATGTTGTCTTGTTTAATCACAACCTTCCAGCCCTCTGCTGTGTCCTTTCTTGAGTCCACCTGCCCATGGGCTTTCCGAGTCTCCCTTTAAAGCCATTCTTAGATAGGGACCAAGTAAACTGATGATTTGCTATTTTGTGTCTGCCAGACTGTGGATTCCAGAAGGGCAAGGACTGTGTGTTTTTTTTCCTATGTCTCTGCTTCACCCTAAGCCTTGGCAATGCAGGGTTTAGCATATGGCTGCCTGGCAGCTCTGGTTTCTCATCTTCCCCAGCTCTAGTGACATTAACCTCATTGCTTCTCAGGTCTGCTGTGCATGTTCTTGCCACATAGCCCTTGTGCCTTATCTGCTCTCTCGACTCTTGACAAAGCTCCATTTCCTTGTAGCCTTCAGAGGTGGCATGCTTATCATTCTTGGTCATTTTATCTTTTTCTACGTTTATAAACCATGCTTTGCTAGTTGAGGCCATTCTCTGTGGCCGTCTGAACAAAAGCTTAAATGTGCTGTGGTTTTGTTGTTGTTTTTTTAATATTTATTTCGTTAGTTAGTTGTTTATTGCGTGTGTGTCTTTTCTTCCCACCACCTCGAATCATGCATATCTACGTACTCAGTGTATGTTGAATAAGTATTATATCTTTAGTACAGTTGTGAGTAGAAAAAGAAAGGAGCTAACATAGCCTGCATTGGAAGCTATGCACTACACTATAAAGAAACTACTGTCACGTTTCACCAAATCTCCATGTCTTGTCACAGGCGATCAGTGTTGTGTATGGGGAACACCTGATGCAAGAGCACCTGTATGAGCCAGCAGGATTTGTGTTTGCCAGGTGTGGGGCCCATCAGAAGGCTCTCTCTGCATTTTTGGCTTGCGGCAGCTGGCAGCAAGCTCTCTGTATAGCTAGCCAGCTTCAACTCTCCGAAGACCAGATGGTGGGCCTTGCTAGAACTCTGGCAGGTAAGCAGGGCCATTCTGTGTTCACTCTTTGAAAGGTTTGTATTTATTGCTTTAATTGGTAATTTTGTAAATAAGTTTAGGGCAACATTCCTTGAGACAGGCTCATTCTAGTCATTCATACTTAGAACATTCTTTTCAATAGAAGAGCAGTCCAAAAAGCACCTCCAAATGTGTTGGCATACTATAAAAAGCAGTTTATTTCTCTGGCCTGGGTACTGATAGATCCTCTGTTATGTAGCTTTGCAGTCCCTCAAGACAGGAGATTGTGGCTGCAAACGGCCTCAAAGTTACACTGTATTATCTGGCCATATTACTCACTGACCCCTAGACATTATGGCCACACTTAACAGTGTTGCTGAGATAGCCTTTCAAGAAAGTAAAGATGAAGTTTTGGATGGAACTATTTGGATGTAGCACATAAATAGTTGAAAACCATAATAATTAGGACTGGTGTGGACAATACGAGATGCACAAGCAGAAAGTCAAGGCAGCTGAGTGGCTGAGTTGAGGGATTTCCTGACCTGGGAACGAGGCTAGTACTTCCGACTTCTGAAAGTAGAACAGAGGTTAAGGACCCTGCGAGATGCAAGGAGGGCTCTGGCCTCAGCAGTGCTTGAGATCAAGAAATGCTTGTATTTGTTTTGTTTTTGAGTGTTTCTCTGTGTAACAATCTTAGCTGTCCTGGAACTAGCTCTTGTAGAGCAGGCTGACCTTAAACTCACAGAGATCCACCTGCCTCTGCCTCTTGAGTACTGGGATTAAAGGTGTGCACCACCACCGCCCAGCTTAATGCTTGTATTTCTTTCTCTCCTTTCTGTTCTCCAACATGAGTTTTAGGGGTGAAGGGTAATTCAAACCAGACCATTCTTTAGCAAAGTCTTGTATACATTGTTAATGGTCCAAAAAAAAATAAAAGAGCAGTTCTGAAACAAGCTTCCAAACTTGTAGGTAGCGTGTGTGTGTGTGTGTGTGTGTGTGTGTGTGTGTGTGTTTCTGTGTCCTGCTTACAGCTGAACTTCCTGTTCATCATGGAATATACGTACTTACTGCAGATGTTGATTTGCAGGATGTGCAGTGGGCATGGACAAGGCTTTTTTTTTAAGATTTTATTAATTACGTATACAGTGTTCTGCCTCCATGTATGCCCGCACGCCAGAGGAGGGCACCAAACCTCATTACAGATGGTTGTGAGCCACCATGTGGTTGCTGGGAATTGAACTAAGGACTTCTGGAAGAGCAGTCAACATTCTTAACCTCTGAGCCATCTCTAGCCCCTGAACAAGGCTTTTTTAAAGACATGATTGTATAGTGTCTTAGACACTGTTCTATTACTGTGAAGAGATACCATGACCACAGCAACTCTCCTAAAGAAAAGCATTTAACTGGGGCTTGCATACAGCTTCAGAGGTTTAGTCTATTATCCTCTTGTTAGGGAACATGGTGGCATGCAGGTAGAGATGGTGACTGAGAGTTCTAATCCATGTCTGCAGGCGGAGAGAGAACACTGGGACTGACTTGGGCTTTTGAAACCCACAAGCTTACTCCCAGTTATACTTCCTCTAACAAGGTCATACCTTCTAATAGTGCCACTCCTAAAACATTCAAATACACTAGCCTGTGGGAGCCATTCTTTTTCAAACCACTACATACAGCACAGTTACTTTGTATACACACTTAATTTGTATTAAGAAACAAACAAGCCAGCAAAGGTGAAAACAATGTAGCTACTTCACTAGTGGAAGTGGTTATGTGGCCTTTTTACATTAGTAATTGTCCTTGAAGGGGTAGGATGGAACAGAAGAACTCTTAGTAACACTGGGGTTTTGTGTGCCTGATACAGTCTGGTTTTTCCAGCTAGAGTGATTGTAGGAGCTAAGGACTGCCTGACAGCTGCCAGCATAACCAGTTACCTCCATCTAGTGCCCACCTTGAGAATCACAGTCTCTGCCTACACAGGAAGAAATGGGTTAGCGAGAGATGCTGGTTAGTTGCCCATTTACATGCCTTTGGAAGCAGTTTTATTTTTTTTTTAAAAGCGAGTTTTGGCAATATGTGATTTTTTTTTTCAAATCCTCTGATTAATTTAGATTCCTTTACTAGGCAGGGTAGCTTCTGTAACCCAGGAGCCACAGCAGAGGAATTCAGCTTCAGGCTGGCCACGTAGAATACAGAGTGAGACTGTGGGTTAGGGGTGTGTGTGCTTCATGTTGTGTGTGCACCTGTTGTCATCACAGAAACTGAGAAGCTTCTGGTCTGGTACGTTGTGAGGATAGCAGTGGAAGTCAGTTTCTGTTTACTGTGTTTGCAGGAAAGCTGATGGAGCAGAGGAAACACACTGAGGCGGCCTTAGTCCTGGAGCAGTATGCCCAGGTGAGTCCCTCCCCTGGTGAAACGGAAGGAACCATGGAAATGGTTAGGACTTGTGCTGATTTGGCCGAGGACAGGTTTCAGGGGGTTACTTCTCTCTTTCTACCAAGGGTCCCAGGGAACAGACTAAGGCTGCCAGGCTCACGAGGAAAGTGGCATCGTTGTCATTGTTATTAGTAATTTTGTCTTTCTGAAACAGTCTCAGGCTAGCCTACACTGACCTTGAACTCCCAGTTCTCCTGCCTCTGACTTTAAGGTTCTACTACTTTGCTTTTAATGATTAGGAAATGTTTAAATGACACAAGAATGTGTTTTATGCTTCTTTTCTTACAGGAGAAGCTAGGAATGTGATTTTTTTTTTCTTGAGCTGTAAGAATCTTGAAGCTACCAGATGATGGTGGTGCATACCTTTAATCCTAGCATTCAGAAGGCAGAGGCAGGCAGATCTCTTGAGTTCTAAGGTTATCCTTGTCTACAGAGTGAGTTCCAGGACAGCCAGGGCTGCACAGAGAAACCTGGTGTTGAAAAACTCTAACAAACAAGAAACCTAAATAAAAAAACAAATCTCAGAAACACTCTAAATATATCAACAACCTAATCTTCAGACCTGAAACCATAAAAGGCTGAAGGGAAAACAGGAATAACCTTTATTAATACCTGGGCGGTGTAGTCTTAGTCCCGATACCATAAGATTAACAACTAAAATTGAAGTCTATAAATTAGACTTCATATAAAGAATTATCAAGAATGTACAAAGACAGCTTATATAGTGTAAAAAATATTTTCAAAGTATTTATCAAGTATTTTCAGAATACATATGAAGAACTGTAATTCAACAAGAAACAAACAAGCTAACTCGGAAATTACTGTTTAGTAGTATATTTTGGGAGGACTGGTCTTGTTTCCAGTAAAGCTTAGCAATGAATGTGGAAAAGAACCATTTTTGACAGGGTTACCGTGTGACTTTATGTCCAGGGATATAAAGAAGACACGCTTGTGTGTTGTGGTCATTCAGAGCAGTAGCCCCCTTTGTCTTTTATAAGTGTTTTTGGAGATGTCTGTCGAGAAGATGTTTGGACAGGCAAGCTGCTGAGAACTGGAGCTGTGAGGGCTGGGGCTGCCTGGGAAGGTGGAGGGACTCCGTGTGGCGGCTTGTGAGACTGCTGCATTCACCCGTGCTCTTCCTTGCTCTTCCCTTGTCAGGATTATGAAGAAGCTGTGCTCCAGCTGCTGGAAGGAGCCGCCTGGGAAGAAGCTCTGAGGCTGGTAAGAGAAGTTCTGAGCAGCTTCTCCTGTGATGGGTGCTGAGGGAGGTAAAGGAGTGGGTCAGTTGGAATTCCTTGTCTTCTGAGTAAGTGAAGTTAAATAGAAAGCGCCCAGGTTCCCAGTCCTGAGGATAAGCGGTATCTGTGAAGCCTCTTAAAACCTGTTCTTTAGCTGGGCGGTGGTGGCGCACACCTTTAATCCCAGCACTTGGGAGGCAAAGGCAGGTGGATCTCTGAGTTTGAGGATAGCCTGGTCTACCAGGTGAGTTCCAGAGTAGCCAGGGCCATACAGAAAAAAACCAGTCTTTAGTAATGTTTGGAATTGGGCCTTCATATTCTTTTTTAAAATGAATTGAATTTTCTTGGGATAATATCCTGATCCCTTCTAGTACTGATCTCTTGTAACATGAGGGCCTGCTTGTTAGGGTTTCTGTCTTGCCTTGTTCCCATAGCTGGCAAGCCCCAAAGAAAATCACACAGAGGTCTCCATAAGTTATAAACTGATTGGCCCATTAGTTCAGGCTTCTTATTAGCTCTTATAACTTATATTAGCCCACTATTCTTATCTCTGTTAGCCACGTGGCTCAGTATCTTTTTTCAGCAGGGCAGGTCACATTCTGCTTCTTTGGTGTCTGGACAGGACTGCAGAAAGAGCTTCCTTCTTCCCAGAATCCTCCTGTTCTCATTGCCCTGCCTCTACTTCCTGCCTGGCTACTGGCCAATCAGCGTTTATTTAAGACATAGTTGACAGAATACAGAATTGTCCCACACCAGTCTCTGTCTTAATTCTTTGTTGGGTAGACATGTTCCTGCCCTAAAATACTGCATTTTTTCCCCTCTTAGGTGTACAAGTATGACAGAGAGGATATTATAGAAACCAGCGTAAAGCCTTCCATTTTAGAAGGTAAGGATTATATCTAGGTGATGTTTTCTTTTAGAATTATGGAAAAGGTAGAAGAAATACAGGGCTCTCTCTGTTACTGCATTTTAATATGTTCTGCTGACTCCGTCATAGTTTTTAAGACTATATTAAGGTGTTAAGTGATGACATTGAAGAGGTTTGAGTGTTGAAAGCTGTGATGTCTTCCTGTCCCTTGCTAGAGCAGACTTTGGCCTCAGGAGCCTGCCTCTACCTAGAGGCTGCTGGCTTCGAGCTTCACCTACAGGTCTTAGAGAGTACGTGTTGGCTTTGCTGCAGTTTTAAGCAGAGCTCCCTGGTGAGTGGTATTTGTGTGCACTCACAGTCTTACCCGGCCTGTTCTGACTAGAGCTTGTGGGTGCTTTGGTACTGTTGGCTGCAGTCATCCCAAGCTAAGGATAGAAGGCATCCTCCTTGACCCTTGCCGTAATCTAGGCAGTCCTTTTCCAACGGGAATTTGGGAATGCATGAGCCTAATTTCTATGTCCTTAGAGAGTTTAGTTTATTTGTATTTTCATTTATTCTGCTAGTGCTGTTTTTCCACTGGACAGTAATTTCAGAGATCATTAGAAGCATTTGTTTCATGCCCACACCATTTCCATGGGTTCCCTCCATCCTGCCTATGTTAGCAGCTTCCTGCATACTCTCTTTGTTTGCTTCTTTCTCTTTGGGTTAGATATCAACCAAGTGTTCACTGATAGGATTTTGTAAGTTTAGTGGTTGAGAGTGTTCTGGGATGGTATTGTGAGGGGTCTCTATAGGTGTCAAGACAAACAGTGATCCTCGAAGAGGTGAGAGTGGAAACTCAGTTCAGATTGATTTCGGGGAGTCTCATGCCAGGTGGTTTATTGCCGATATATTTAAACACGGTATAATGTGGGGGGAAGTTTCCTGGTATACAATCCCCAGTACCCAAGGAAACATAATTATATCAAAATTCTACTTGGGGTACATGTCATTTCTTCTAAGAAGATAGGTTCTAGAAATGGGCTTCCTGTAGTAGCTTAAGGGCTTAAAGAAGGCTCCAGGCTGGTCTTGGTCATACAGATAGTGTAGAAGTCATTTGGTCTATTAGCCACCTCTAGTCCTGGTTGTGGGAGCTTGAGGAGCCTCTGGCTCTACAGGTAATGTAAAGGTCATGTAGATTACTAGCCACCTCGGGTCCTGATTGTGGAAGCTTGATACAGCCTGGCCCAACAGGCTATTGATCACCTCTAGTTCCCAACTGTCTGGATGGAAGAACAGGTTTTATAAATCTTTTCCACTGCAAAGACAATTCTGCATGCCCAGTGTTCCTGGTTTCCCTGGAGGTCTCTGAGTACAAGGACCTTCATGCTTCCAACAGGACTGATGAACTCTGAGATCTGGTATCTCCAGCTCATTAATGGAATAAAAAAAAATCTTGGTGGTTAGTCCTATATACATCTTTCGTTGCTGTTGAATTTTTAACCCTTTATCACATCTCCTTCAGTTAGGTTTTATCTCTTTGCTTAAAAATCATGCTCAAGGTATTTTTCTTTCTGTATCCTCAGCCCAAAAAAATTTCATGGCCTTTCTGGACTCTCAGACAGCCATATTCATTCGCCATAAAGACCGTTTTCTGGTGGTTCGAGAGCTCAAGAGCCAAGGACCACAGATGCATGTGGGTGAGTGCCTCTGAGAAGCCTGTGGTGGTGTGGGAGGTGGGGGTGGGCACCCATGCACCTTGTCTGTGCTGTGTGTCTGTTGTCAGTGTTCTGAGACAAGCACTTTATAAAGAGAAAGGGATTGTTTGGGCACAAAGCTTTGGAGATAGAAGAATATGGCACCAAGAAGCATGTGCTTGACATTTGGGGAAGGTGTTGTGACAGAAAACCAGGTTGGCAAGTGCAAGAGGCACATCTGTAAGGAGATAAGGGGCGGCACCAGCCTCGCCGTACAGTCCCACAGGAACCAGATCTCAGTACTGTGTGAGCATCACTGACCTTGCTTTCGCCACTGTCCCATACTGCACACAAGTTGCTGAGTAGGGACAGACTACTCCTGTTGTCTTATTGCTGTGTTGTAGCTGCCTGGAACTCCATGTTGGAGAAGTGCTTAGGGGTCAGGGCCAGGCAGATAACAGAAAATCTCTACCAAGTAGTCCCACTTTTCCCCATCCAACCAGAGCAATGATATCTTCAGTGTTTCACAAAATGAATTTCCTAGTTCCTCCCCACCTAGTCCCCAGAAAGGAAAAGAATGTGGGAAACTCCAGATTTATAGTAAGTATAATTACCGTATTTAATGTTACCTTATTCATTATGGGATCAACTTTGAACTGCCCTCCCCTTCTCCAGTCTGCATCTGTTTTGTCTTCCAGATAACGAGATGGTAGCCCCTGGGCCAGAGTCGGATTTCTTCTCGGAGAGTGGGAGTGAGATGAGTGGCAGATACTCGCAGAGTAACTCCCGGATATCTGCGTACGTATGAGATCCGGTCAGCGAGTGAGTGGGAGAATGTCTGTCAGGGCCAGTGAGCACATCCTTGCAATGAGGCTGTTCTCACGCTAGCACTCACGTTGTTGTTTTCTTCCCTCCATTGTTTCGGTGTGTTACCAGGAGAACCTCATTTTTACCTTGCCCTTTAGTTCTTAAGATAGGGTCTCACTGTGTAGCCCTGGCTGGCCTGGTACCTGCTCTGTAGACCATGCTGGCCTCTGACTCACAGAGATCCACCTGCTTTTCCTCCTGAGTGAAGGAACCAAAGGCGTGTGCCATCTTCCCCCATCTTACCTTGCATTTTAATCCGAATTGAAGGGAGAAACAGCTCTTTGGCTTTCCTTATTTGCCTCCTCTTAGACCCCACTAGGTTTGTGTGGTTTTAGCCCCTCTTTTCTAACATCTCCCCAGAAAGGAACACTGTAGACACTCTGGTTTCTTAGAAAGTGGTGGCCAACAGGCACGGGAGAGCTTCCTTTTCAACATCTCTCATTTCTGACAGGAGGTCATCTAAAAACCGGCGCAAGGCAGAGCGGAAGAAGTACAGCCTCAAAGAAGGGAGTCCTCTAGAGGACCTGGCACTTTTGGATGCCCTGAGTGAAGTGGTACAAAGCATTGACAAGATGAAAGGTCTGGTCTTAGTGCTCACCATGCGATACTGCAGTTATGATGTAGTGTGGGGCTGGTGGGATGACTCAGGGTCACCAAGCCTGACAGTCTGATGTCCATTCCTGGGACCCACACAATAGAAAGAAAGGACCCTCTCCCTGAATGTTGCCTTTTGATCTCCACTGAGACACAAACAAAATCAGGTGTTTAAGAAGCAACAACAAAAAACAACACTGATGGTGTTTTCCAGTTTGAACAGTGGTTCTGTAACTTGTGGGCCTCGAACCCTGCGAGGGTCAAACTACCCTTTCGTAAGGGTTGCATAGCTGATATTTATGTTACATAACAGTAGCAAAATTACAGTTGTGAAGTAATAATGAAAATAATTTTATGGCTGGGGGTCAGCACAACACAAGGAGCTGTATTAGAGGGTTGCAGCGTTAAGAAGGTTGAGAACTACTGAGTTAGAGGGAAGAAGCAAGCGGTCAGTGGGAAGCTGAGTCAGTCCTTCCCAGCCCCTGAAGGAGAAGCCTTCTTGTGAGGATACAGTGCTTAAGTCAGGAGCAGGGACCTCACTCGTTCACTGAGTTTCCCTTTCCTTCCCATGTGCTGAATTACTCCAGCATTTGGGAAGAAGAACGTGGAAGAACGCTTCTCTAGGGTGGTGCCAGCCACTGTGAGCCTGGGGAAGAAGTCCCTGGTGATTCTAGCAGTGGAGCCAGGACGCAGCTCACACTTTCACGTTTCTCTCTCCAGACGAAGTGCACAGTATATTAAGGGCGCTCTTTGTCCTGGCGTTTGAACAGCAAGCACAGGAACTGCAGAAGGCCTATGAGAATACTCTGAAGCTCATGGAGAAGGCACTTCCGGAAATCTGGACTCTTGACTGCCAGCAGAGTTCACTCACATCGGTAAGTTTCCTCAGCCACCACCTGCGGTCTCTGCCTTCTCTCTGTAGCCCCCAAGAGTCTAGGGTGGAAGACAACTCTGGCTTCGCGCTTATCTTAGCAGTAGGCTTGCCTGTTTCCTGCTAAGGTGAAGTAGGTTGTTGTTTTTCCTTTTCAGATAGAGCAGCTGTCATAGGGATGATTGGAAATCCTCAGTGACCATGGAGTATGGAGGAAGGAGGGAAGCTAGGGTTAGATCCTAGATCTGAAGCCCCGGTGCAGGGTCGGAGAGTTTTGTGTCCCATGAAGTATTCTCAAGTATCTGCTGGCTACTTGAGCTCTCAAGTCTACTGTGGAGAGTTTTGATTAGGAGTTAGAAAAGCTGGTATATCAATCAGAGTTCAGTAAGGAAAACAAAATCCAAACCTGTTATTTTCCCATGGAGAATTTAATACCTGGTTGATTAAATAAGCATTGAGGGGCAGAAAAGGCAAAAGAGGAGCACTGGAGGCTGAGAGAGGAACAGCAGCTAGAGAAGTAGCGTCTGCCCCTGCGGAAAGAAGAAAAGAAAGAGCTGGGGATGGTGACAGGTCTGGAGAGAGTGCGGCTTAGTGAGACCTGAGAGTTGAGGGAGGCCGCCCCGTGAGGCTGGTTTTAAGTGCCCAGAGAGAAGTAGGAACTGTAATGAATAGCCCTTGAAAGCAAGCACATTGCTTTTCCTTCCAGCTGTGCCCTCTCCTTTAGTCCCCTTTTTGGGGGCGCCTAACAGGGCATCAGCTGATGGAGAAAACTGTGGTTCATGCCCACATCCTGGCTTCACTGGCTGTGGATAGAAGGGTGGATTTGGTGCTTAGCAACAGGAGGTTGCGATCATTTCACTGGCTAGACATGTGTCGGATTCTAGGTTTCGATTTCCTAGGTTAGTGGGGAAACTTCCATGGGTGTATTACCAGAATGTTTGGAAGACTTGATAAGAGGGTGGATATTTGTACAGACCACTTTACATGCCACAGCAAGGAAAGCAGCTAAAAATCTAGATGCCACAAATGCTTGAATTAACTGTAATGGATGTTGCCTAGAAATACGATTATCTTCCGTACTGCAGCGTTTTGAAGTCATCAGTTTCAAATGCCTCTCCACTTCTGTTCAGATCACAGCAGCTTCTACGATCGCAGCTCTGTGAATCTTGTAGGGAAAGCGCGCAGATGTTTTGTTTGGCAATACGGAAGTGGGCCTCGTTCCGGGCAGGCACCATGAGTCACTTGTAAGTGCTCTTGAGCTCGTGGTATTACAGCTGACCATGTTCCGGCAGGGACACATGCAGAGACCAATGAGAGCAAAGCAGAGGCTCACTGCCAGCATGGACCCCAGTGAGATCTGTGTAGAGTTGGTGTTCCACCCATATGACACATATGTGTATTTCTTTTAATATAAAAATTACTATTTCCATCCAGGTGGTGGTGATGCACGCCTTTAATCCCATCACTTGGGAGGCAGAGGCAGGAGGATCTCTGTGAGTTCGAGGCCAGCCTGGTCTACAAGAGCTAGTGCCAGGACAGGCTCCAAAGCTACAGAGAAACCCTGTCTCAAAAACAAAACAAAACAAAAAAATCCTATTTCCTACAGTGCTTTGAGTAGAATGGATCCTTTCTGTGTTCCAAAAACTTGGATTTTTCTCTCCCCATGGGCTAGGATCTGCTAACTTGGAAAAGGCCAGGCCGGCTTGTTGGGGAGTCGTCTCCTCCTCTGCTGCGCATTCCTGAGAGTCAGGAAGCTTAGCGGTCTGAGCTGAGAGAGCACAGAAGCTGACCTATCTCCATTAGAGCTGAGAAAGACAGCAGACCAGGTTGCTGCTAGTGGAGACTGTGGGTCTGTCACCATCCGAAGATCATCTCTGCTGACATAACCTGTTTTCTGCTTAGGTCCTAGGTCCGAGTTCCACTGTGAATAGCATCACTGCCTCTTACCAGCAGCAGCAGCAGCAGCAGCAGCAGCAGCAGCAGCAGCAGCCACAACCACCATCTGTTCCTGTTCTCGGTCAGTGACTTCTCTCCACATTGTCTTCATGCTATGCAGGGCTGGGTGTCGGTGTTGGAGAGATCAGCTCTTTAAGGGATCCCTCTCAGTCTGAAACCACGTTTTCTTTGTATTTTAAATTTTTATTCATTTTATATACCAAACACAGTTCGCCCTCTTTCCCCTCCTCCTGCTCCCCCTCCCTCCATCTACTCCCCATAATCTGCACAACTGTTGCCCACGTGTATAGGGTCTAGTTTGGTCTTCTGTAGGCTCCACAGCTGTCAGTCTAGAGTCTGTTAGCTCCTGAGAGCTCGAACAAGAGGGAACTGAGACCACATTTTACATGGCTCTAGTATTTCTAATGTTGGTGGCTTGGAGGGAAGGACGCAACATGACTTAAGTTGGTTTGCTTGTATTTTTGAAGACAAGGTCTGACTGTGTTTCTGGCTAGCCTGGAACTTACTCTGCAGACCAAACTGGCCTTGAACTCAGAGATCCACCTGTCTCCCGAGTTCTGGGATTTAAGATGTATACCACCACTCCTGGCACAATGTGACATTTTATTTATTTATTTTTAAATTAGCTCTTGAGCAGCCTGTGCCCAGTTTAGGACATGTATTACCGTCCTGTCTCTATCATCTCTCCCCATCTTGTAATGCCTGTTTCAATCTGAATTAAAACCTTTTCTTACCAGGCAGTGGTGGCACTTGCCTTTAATCCTAGCACTCAGAAGGCAGAGGCAGGCAGATCTCTATGAGTTTGAGGCCAGCCTGGTCTACGGAGTGAGTTCCAGGACAGCCAGGACTACAAAGAGAAACCCTGTCTTGAAAAAAACAAAACAAACAAAAAACAAAAAAACTTTTCTTAACCAACTCCAGCTTTGCTTTAAAAAAAAAATTCGCAGTGACAGTTGCATGCCCGTGCGTCCATCCATGCATGGCTGCACATCACAGTTGCATGCCTGTGCGTCCATCCATGCATGTATGCACATCACAGTTGCATGCCTGTGTGTCCATCCATGCATGTATGCACATCACAATTGCAGCATGAGCCTAAGAGCCCACACCTACTCAAGTGGGAGACCTTTGAGTTGGGATTCTGGCTCTTACAATTACTCTTTCCACCTTCAGAATAGTATTAGGAGACAGATATTTGTATCACCTTACAACTGATGTTAGAATTTGAAGGCACACTTTACATGCTTCTGCCTGTAAAGTCTGTAACATGTAAGGGTTCCTCATCTGAGTTTATGATGTCAGTGTCCTGTGGCTCCAAAGTTGGTTGGTATTTAATTACATTCTTGTCACTATGACAGGATTACCCCATCCTGTCAGGGAGAGCATGTTGGTAGGAGCAGCTTGCTGCTATGGTGGCAGGATTGTGTGGCAGCTGATTGTAGCATGACACCAACCAGGAACCAGAGAGGTCAGTTTCAAGCCAGGTAGAAGCATAGCTCATAAACCCCATCCAACTCAACTCCTGTGTCTGCCAACTATGCCTATGTCTAAAAGGTCCTGCAACCTCCCAAAGCAGTGCCACAGCTTGGATTCAGCTGTTTAAATGCCTGGGTTAATGTGTAGGGGAGGCGGCTTTAAAATGCAAATCCTAACAGGTAGAAAGGGGAAGGTTGTAATTCAAAAGTAGCCAGCAAAAACCCACCAGAAAATTAGTTCCACTCAAATAGTCCCATTGCCCTTCCCAGCTAACAGTGGTGCGCATATACTCACATTAGTGGAGGCATTGGAAATGCATGTTTGTCAGTATCTGTGCTTGCCATGCTTGGTGCTGTACACAGCACAGACTGATTGATTGCAGGTCGTGCAGAAATACAGGATCTCATGACATAGTCTGAAGTGGGAAAGCTCTAAACTTGAAACTGGGTGTTACAGTTCTGATCGCTTCTGAAGGGGATCTGACTGGTAAATAGTCATCAAAGTATTCTTATTAAAATGATTCTTTTTGCCCCATGAAAGTCAAACATGGAAATGTAAAACATGTCCTCTTTTGCTGTCAGTCAGCCCAGGTTGTCATTCTGGGCTGATTTGATATTTTATACTTATTCTTGGTTAACTCTAGAATCAAATATAGTTGCAATTATGTAATGTTTTTAAAAGACAATAGATTCTAATGTAACTTTTTTAAAGATAAAAATCTCATTCAAGCTTTAACCATGAAATTATGGACCTGCTTAACCTTGTTTTGGTATTGATATTCTTTTATATCCCAAACTAGTGGGCTCTGTTTATATAGTTTGACTTGTGGGAAGGGTGGTTGATTTTTTTTTTTTTTTTTTTTTAATTTCTGGAAAGTGATAGGCATGGTAACATAGGTAATTAGAAACTGTATGGGTCAGTAGGATAGGAAAATCTAGATTGCAAATTATATTGAAGAAAATTAAAATTTGGTTGGGGCATGGTGACACAGCCTTGTAATCTGGCAGTTTGTGGTTAATCTATGTGTGTATAAGCATGTGTTTATATAAAATGCAAAATCATGGTTTAAAAATTCTCTTAAAGATTTTTCGCATTGTTAAATTTTTAAAATAATTTTAATAGTGCATATGTAGATATATTGCTAGAAATTTAATTATTAACAAATAATAATGAAACAGTTTTATATACCTTTTTATTTCTTGGTTGGTTGGTTGGTTGGTTTTTCAAGACAGGGTTTCTTTGTGTAATCTTGTCTGTCCCAGAACTCACTTTGTAAACCAGGCTGGCCTCAAACTCCCAGAGATCCACCTGCCTCTGCCTCCTGAATGCTGGGATTAAAGACATGCGCCACCCCCACCTGGATCCTTATATATATATATTTTTTTCTTGTCTGTGCTTCAAATATATGATTCCTAGTCAGATTAGAGACTCCTAAAGTCTAAAGGAAAAAATACAGAATTCCTACCTGTAACTACTTCCTACTTTACTTTTTATAAAGTCAGTTTTGCTGAGCATCTGTTCATAGAATTCTGCTACTTTCTGTCATTCACTTGACTCACTGTTACATACTGCCACGTTTTATTCTTAAAATTGAGAAAATTTTCACATATGGTAAAATGTAGATATAGTTTGCAACTTGACAGTTTTTTGAAAATGTACACTTCTGGTCTGGATAGATGGCTTTTGGTGGTTAAGAACATTTTCGTTCTTGCAGAGGAACAAGGCTGGTTCACCTGTAGTGGCTTACAGCCATCCAAAACAGTCCCCTGGGATTTCAGTGTCCCTTCTGGTCTCCAAGGGCATTGTGTGCATATGGTGTAGATACGTGTGTGTGTGTGTGTGTGTGTGTGTGTGTGTGTGTGTAACATAAACATACATAAAACACATCTAAAAATTAGAAAGTAAGCAGACACCAGTACTACCTCTCCCTGTTCAAATACTGAATCACCTAATGACACGTGTGCAGCCTGATGCCCTTCCTCTTCTCTGGGCAGGGCCTCCAGGCTGTGTTTGCTTTGACACTACAGAGTTGAGGTAGCAGACCCATTATCACCTCCCTTCCATTCTTGCTTTCAGATGCTGGAATCTGTGTGCCACCAAAGATTGACCTGAGAGGCCTGTGGAAGCTGAGCCTGCTGGACTGACTGACCTGTGAAGAAGGCATCACTGGGAAGACCATTTGCCCCCTCACTCCTCATTGTGCTTCTAGTTCTTGCTCCTTAGAGGCCCGGCTGTTGAGAACTGAGATATGGGATGGTCTGCCTTTGCCCTGCCTACAGCTGCTGTGAGACCAGACTTAGCACTAAGCAGTCTGGTTCTTACTTTAAGTACTGCCAGAACTTTGTTTCAGCCAACATATTACAGTTTGTTTTTTTAAATGCTATTTTTAGCTGGGCATGGTGGGGCATGCCTATAATCCCAGCAACGCAAAAAGCTGAGGCAGAAAGGCAGGTTCAAGACCAGTGTGGGATACAGCAAGACCTTATCTCAGAACAGCCCAACCTGCTGTTGTTGTATTTAGTGCTCTTTGAGAACATGGCTTCTAAAGCAAAAAATCATGGACTAGATTTTCATGCACAGATCCAGGCCTAGTTTCTGTTGTAACCATGGTAACGCTAATCATTGATTTGATCCTCAGTTCCTGTGTAGATAGGGAGTGATGTTTCATTCTACCTCGTAAAAAAAAAAAACAAAAAACAAAAAAAAAGTGGAGTTCCATTTCTGTGTTGTTTTGCATTGCTAACATTGTGTATTGTATAAAAACAGGCTGTGACTGCTGCCAACATTCAGTCAGATGTGATTGTGTAGCTGGCATCTTCCCGCCCGACTCAAAGCAGAATAAAAAGTTAAATGTGTTTGGGGACTGGAGAGTTGACTCAGCAATTAAGAACGATTATCCCAGCACCCACATGGCAGTTCACAACTGTTCACTTCAGTTCCAAGGAATCTAATGCCCTCTTCTGACCTCTTGGCACCAGGCAAGCACGTAGTACACAAACATATATACGTACAGCCAAAACATACATACAAAATCTTAAAAAAATTTTTAATTAAATGTGCCATTCAATCAGGCTATGTGCTACCCGCTTTAATTGGTCTATAAGCCTCCTTGTGGTGTGAATGAAATGGACCCCATGGGCTCTTCAGGAGAGGCACTATCAGGGGGTAGGGCCTTGTTCGACTAGGTGTGGCCTTGGAGGGAGCGTGTCACTGGGGACAAGCTTTGTGGTTTCAGATGCTTAAGCCAGGCCCAGCGTCTCACTGTCTGCCGATCTGGATGTAGAGATCTCAGCTACCTCTCTAGTACCATCTCCGCCTGCGTGCCACCATGCTTCCTGTCATGATCATGTTTCCCACCGTGGGGACAATGGACTGAACCTCTGAACTTTAAGTCGGTCCCAGTTAAATGCTTTCCTTTATAAGGGTAGCTGTGGTTCTGGTGTCTCTTCACAGCAGTAGAAACCCTAACTGCGAGGCGACCCTCCTCTACCTGCACTGTTACAGGGACTGCTTTATCGCCAGTGTATGCTCTGCTAGAGTCATCAGTGGTCGGGTGGGATGGATTGGAATCCGCTGACACAGGTCCTGCACTTCAGTATTGGGTAGACAGCAGGCATAGTATGGTAGCAGGGATGGAGGTTACTCTTTGCTCTCCAGGCCCTGCCTCCTATGCTGAGTGATTTTTGTCAGTGTCTAGGCAGACTAGTTTACTTTCTGTAAGGTGTTTAACTGACTTGTTTCATCCTGTTTCCAAAGGCTTGGAAGAATAATATTCTCTCTCTCTCTCTCTCTCTCTCTCTTTCTCTCTCTCTCTCTCTCTCTCTCTCTCTCTCTCTCTTTCTCGTCAAGTCTAGAAATAGGTCAGTTTATTTTAATTAGAGGCTTTTTAAAAATTCTTCGACAGTTTCATACTCACTAGATAGTTGTCTTAAGAGACATTGTGACCATGGCAACTCTTACAAATTGAAGGGGGCTTGCTTACAGTTTCAGAGGTTCGGTCCATTATCATATGCAGGCAGACATGGTGCTGGAGCTGAGAATCTTACATCTTGACACAGACCACAGAACATCGGCTGACACACTGGGCAGTATCCTAAGCATAAGAGACCACAGAGCCTGCTCCCACAGTAACACACTTCCTCCAACAAGGCCACACCTCCTAATAGTGCCACTCCCTTTTGGGGCCATTTTCTTTCAAACCACACCAATAGTAGTACATAATTCATCCCTGTTGTAACAAACTTGCGAAGTTTTCCCCAGCTGTTAAATTTAGATGATGTTGGAAGTACTAAGATGTTTTTGCGTGGAGCCTGTCTTTACTGGGACAGGTGGATCCGGTGAGCATTGATAATGCTTTGTGAAAGAATGTGGTTCTATCAGCTTTCCATTGACATTTTAGTATTTAGGCCTGGAGCTTCCTGGAGTTGAGCAAATGGCTCTTGGAGCCTCTGTATGGTAGAGATGCCTGTTCTCCAGATGCTCAGGGTGCAAGTGTGACTAAGAATCCCAGTAAGATGTGAAGGCTATTGTTTAAGAGCTAAAAGTCACAATTGTAGCTATTGGGAGCACTGCCTGGGGACCAGATACATCCTGAAGCATGTCTGCTTTCCATCAGCTGTGAGAAAGCCACTGGGCAATATAGGGAAACTGATTGGGGTGGCTGGGGTCTCCAGCCTCATTCCAGACCTGCGCTCAACACCACCACCACTGGTGTGGCAGCAGCAGCTGCTGCAGCCACATCTTAGGGACGATGGTAGTCGAGGTCTCCAGGTGGCTCACTCCCTCTCCCACATTAAATGTCCAACCAACAGAAACACACAGACACAGTACAGACAACCATGGGTGGCTACCACACATTCATACCCTGAATGGACCAGGGGAGTCCAGTGATGTCTCACAGGGATTCCAGACACTGGGCCCGCATCTGCAGCTGGCCTCTCCTTTATGTCCTAAACAGAAGGTACCTTAACCAGACTTACCTCTGGAGGTGACAGACCAGGTGACTTTTTGGGGTATAGGCCTCATTTCTCCAAGGTATTAGGCAGCAATTAATCAGACGGGGGTCCTGGGACCCTGGAACTCCCTTGGCTACCACACTTCCTTGCTCCAAGGGGCTCTGAGACCCCCAGTGTGTCAAGGTCTGTTCTCTGGGAATCTCGCTGGGGTCTCCAGAAATGTGAGGTACCCGCTTGTATGTGGATTCAAGCCAGAAAGTCCATTAGCTGACAACTATGCTGGGTGTTTGGGACCCGAGTGTAGTCCTGAGTCTTTTTAAAAAAGGGTGAACTTTTTTTTTTTTAAATTTACTTACTTTTTATATACCAATCCTAGTCATCCCCCCTCCTTTCCCCACTCTACCCTCCATCTACTCAGATAAAAGGCTTCTCCTGGGAAATCAACTAAGTCTGTCCCATCACCTCAAGGCTCCCCTCCCTCTCCCCCGTGCCTAGGCTGAGCAAGGTATCTCTCCATAGAGAATGGTCTCCACCAAGTCAGTTCATGCGTTAGTGTTAGATCCTGGACAGGATGCTCTTTTTAAGCACAAAACTACATCCTGCGTTGACGCAGCTCAGCAAGGACAGTTAGCCAGAAGGGGACTACAGAAGCCAAAACAAGTTAGTACAGTTAGGGACTTTGCCAGAACTATGGACTTTTATGGATTAGGTCTTTGTTTTGGTTTTGGCAGGTGTTCCTGCCTGTGTACTGGGTTTCGAGACCTGAATGGTACTTCTATTGTAGCGTCCATCCGTAGTGCTAATGGAATGATAGAAGTCTTCACGGCCAGTAACCCTGGTGGCTTTCTATGAACCAGTTTTGAGACATACTGGTGAGTAAAAAAGAGGTACAGTTAAGACAGGGTAGTTAAAACAAGGTAGATTGCCAGCATATTCTGAGTTTGCTGTCAGATGGGAAATACGGTACTGTTTTTATGGGAGACTGAACTTATTCAGCATTCTGGGGGGGGGGGATTGTGGATGAGGATCCCCTTGTATACTTTAACATCATTTACTCTTAACCCGTTTTTTTTCTTTTTTTAACACATTTTTCCTTAAGCATGTTTTAACAACAGAGTAGTTCCTACAGTGGGAAGCGTAATGTTAGAACAAGTTTCTTCCAAGAGAAACTGAGCGGTCAGCATAGCGCATGTCTGACTCTCGTGGCCCCACTCCACTCCCAGGTGTTTGTGTCACTTAAGGCAAGGACACATCTGTGTGGCTCCTACTCCGTCAGGAAATAGGCGTGCTGTGAAGGGAAGGGGACACGAGGGGTCTTTAATGCTACAGGAATGAACATGCCAGCTCACACACCATATGTAGAAAGGTGTTCCCTCACGCAGTAAAGCTGACACACTGTCACCACCGTGGCCACGCCGCCACCAGTTCAGAAGCACCTTCTGTAGAGGAAGAAAGGCCCATGCTCCTCGTACTCAAAGCGGTGAACCCACAGTGGTTGGAAACCCTGGAGCGAGGCCAGGATAGAGCCACCAGTCCACACTGCGGTGTCTCTCTCAGGCAGAACGTTGACCTGTGGGGTGTCATTGGGGCACATGCTGCTTAGCTCCTTCTGCAGGCGGTTAGGGAAGCCCTTGAGCATAGTGCTGCCCCCACAGAGCAGGATGTTCCCCATGAGGTCTCGCTTGAGTGCGATGTCACACTTGTTAAGGCAGGACACCGTCTGGGTGTGGAGGCCCAGCTGCATGGATTTGATCAGCGACGGCTTGAAGAACATCTCCGAGCAGAGGAACCTCTCCTGGCCCAGACGGATCTCTTTCCCATCAGGCAGAGTATATTGGATCTCATGTTCACTGGGAGGGATTTTCTTCTCTTCGATGGGGTCCAGGGCCACGAAGCAGCATCTTGTCTTGATGGCCTCCACAATACTGGTCTGGTCATCTGTGAAGTGTTTTCCAGAGTTGTTCATCAAGCTCATCAGGTAGGCCGTCAGGTCAGATCCTGCATAGTCTAGCCGCCCCGTGATGCTAGGCAAAGGATAACCCTCATAGATGGGTACCACATAGGACACACCGTGGCCCACCTCCACCACCAGCCCGGACGTGCGTCCATACGAGTACATGGACAGGCGGGACTGGTAGGCGATGTGCATTGCAGGTGTGTTGAAGGTCTCAAACAACATCTCAGCATACTTCTCTCTGTTGGTGTGAGGGCTCAGGGGTGGGTCCGAGACCAGGACTGCATGCTCCTCCGGGGCGATCTTCATCTCTTGTCGGAAGAGGTATTCCCAGATGTCCTGTACTGTGTCCCAGTCCACAATGATGCCATGACGCAGGGGGTTGACCAGCTTGAGATGTATGTCTGGGTTAAGGAGCTCATGCCCCACGAAGGTCTCTTTGCGATTATCCCCAGTCTTGGCTGTCTCCATGTAGGGCTTGCCCACTGTTGTTGAGATCTTGTGAGTGGGCTTTGGCAGGCCAGCAAAGCCACATTTACAGAAGCCGGTGCCGAGATCCACGACCACTGCTTTGGTCACCTCTAACTTGGACCTGACCTTGGGCGCGGTTGACTTCTCAGGGTCTTCTGTCTCGGCACTCTCTCGACGGACCCATACTGCCCTCTTTGCTGGGCCGTCCTTTAGTGAGGCAGTCTGGAGGACCTGTGTCTGCATGGAGGCCTGGTTGCCAGCTTTCTTGGCAGGTCCATCCCCCATGTCTGCTGCCTCTGGAGCCCACACGCTTTCCAGAGACATACTGCTCTCAGAAAGCTCTTGATCCTGCTGGGTAAGAGGCCTGAGAGGCTCAGATCAGAGGATGGCTTAAGAATCTGCCCAACAGTGACATCACTGATTGTGACATAATCCAGCGACCAGAGACTCTAGACACTGGAGACCTTGTTTGGGTACAAAAGAGATATTATCTTTTGTAGTAAAGCTTGATTAATTTGTTCAGTTCATTTGTTGAGTGCCTGTAACATGCCATGAAGAAGCAGCAATAGAGTCCTTCCCTTATCTGGCCCATATTTGAGTTGGTGTGCGCTGTGGGGAAAGACACAAAATGTCTGTTGAACAACAACAACAAAAAAATCAAATTTAGAAGTTTTTAGAGAAAAATCAGAGGACAGAGAGAGGGTGGCCGAGCTGATGTGGTTCAGGCAAAGGCTCCCTGAGCCGACAGCAGTTGTGTAAGGAGCTGAAGGAGGTGACCTAGTGACAGGAGTGTATTTGGTGCAGGGGACTAAGTCACCTGGCTGTGGAGTTAGTGAAGGGGCCTGCAGGGTGCCGGATCCAGCCTGTGGCGGTATACGAATCTACTGCATCAGCCGTACTCATTCACTTATGGATTCCCCGGGTCATTAAAAGGAAAACAAAAACAAACAAACAAAAAAAAACTGTTGAATCAGCATCACAAAGATTGGGCCAAAGGCTGAGGGGAAATAAATGTGACCGTACAGAAGTTTGCTGAACTCCACTGAGAGAAGCTGCAAGAAGACCAATGTAACCAGGGGGAAGAGTCTGGAAAAGTAGAGCGTGGGTGGGAGAAGGGAGGCTGGTGGTAGTGGAGGACCAACCAACCAGTCCCATCAGGCCATGGGCCATTGCAGGGACTTCTAGGTGAGCAAGGCTAGAACGGATTAGAGAAATTTGAACAAATGGACACTATCTGAGCTTTTCCCAGGAGTTACTGCTGCTGTGATGATTGGACAGCCCTCCTGCCTAATTTGGGGGTCTCAGGTAGATAACCCTACGAAGAATTAGTTTTGAACATAGACTTGCGCTCCTTTATCAGGGTCACAGCGTGTGCATCGAAATATAACCCGACAGTGAAGGCTCGAGTACACAGCTTCCCCAAGGATATCCAGTAGGAGTACACAGCCCCCCCCCCCCCAACATGTACCGCATACATGCCTTGACACCTAGCATTTCTGAGGCTGCTTGGCCATCTGTCTCCTTAGCTGGACATACGGATTTCTACCCACCATGGTGCTGAGGTCGTCAGGAGACCCGGTTAGTTGGTGTTGGGTGAACTTTGGTTGAAGTATTATCCCTCTTAAAAACTGATAGCTCTTGGATTCTGAACCTCTACACCAAGTGCAAAGCCCAGGATCTAACCTTATGCATGCCTCATCTTTGACCTTACCCTCGGCTCTATCCTAGATGTGAGACAGTCACTCTGGTGATGGGGTCCTTCCTTCGTGGAGGTGGTGGCAGGTCCTCTTGGTCTCAGGGATGAGAATTAAAGTACGAAGTGCTGCTAGCTTTACTAGAGAATGCACCTGTGCTTGTGAAATGAAAGAGGAGGCCAGGTACAGGCCTTGAGCTTTGTGTCTAAAGCGGAAACAGCGTTCAAGGTCTCTAGGAGACCTGGTTAATTGCTGTTAGATGGACGTCTATCACTCTCAAAAACTGCTCTTGAATTCTGAACCTCTATGCAGCTCTGCCCAGCCCCTAAGATTCTGCAAAGTAGTGCAAGAAGAACCCGGTACTGTGCCTGGTATTCTCTAGGGGCCCAAATTATCAGTGCCAAGGAGCAGAGGAGCAAAGAAATGAACGGATCATCACTGAATGGCCAGACATGGAGATGTTTGAGGGAGCGGAGAGATTCTAGAGCCGCTGGTAATTAGCTCTGTCCTGGAGCAAACCAATTAGGAAGGTGTGTGGAGGGTGAAAAGAGCAAGCTCCCCCCTATCTAAATGGACCGTCCCTGGTGACATCACAATGCTAAGTGGTTGCACGGTTGGAGGTGGACTCTCATTTCTCCCCAGGAGCTGTAGGGTGTGGATGTAAGAAGGTGAGGAAGGGAGGCAGATGGCGACAAAGAACAACCCTAGCCCTAAGCCCATGGGCACAGCCCAGGGCGACCCTGGAGAGGCAGGAACACTGCCAGTCCCTGAGGCTGGCATCCGGGACACAGGGTCCACTCAACTGAAGATGAAGCCCAAGCAAATACGCAAGATCAAGGCGCTGGTCATTGACCTGGGCTCCCAGTACTGTAAGTGCGGCTACGCGGGAGAGCAGAGGCCCACCTACTTCATCTCCTCTACGGTGGGCAAGCGCAGCCCCGAGATGGCAGCGGACGCTGGAGACACCTTCAAGGAGACATACGTGGGCCATGAGCTGCTCAACATGGAGGCATCTCTGAAGCTGGTTAACCCACTGAAGCACGGCATCGTGGTGGACTGGGATTGTATCCAGAACATCTGGGAGTACATCTTCCACACCGCCATGAAGATCCTTCCGGAAGAGCACGCGGTGCTGGTGTCCGACCCTCCGCTCAGCCCCATCAGCAACCGGGAAAAGTACGCGGAGCTCATGTTTGAGACCTTCCGCATCCCAGCCATGCACGTGACCTCCCAGGCGCTTCTGTCCATCTAATCATACGGCAAGACCTCCGGGCTGGTGGTCGAGAGCGGGCACGGTGTGTCGCATGTGGTACCCATCTCCGAGGGGGACCTGCTGCCGGGCCTGCCCTGCCGTGCAGACTATGCCGGCTGCGACCTCACCAACTACCTCATGCAGCTGCTCAATGAAGCAGGTCACCAGTTCTCAGATGACCACCTGCACATCATCGAACACATCAAGAAGAAGTGCTGCTACGCCGCGCTGCTGCCAGAGGAGGAGATGAGCCTGAGCCCCGAGGAGCTGCGCGTAGACTAAGAGCTCCCGGACGGCAAGGTCATCACCATCGGCCAGGAGCGCTTCCGCTGCTCCGAGATGCTCTTCAAGCCCTCCCTGGTGGGCTGCACGCAGCCGGGCCTCCCGGAGCTCACAGCTGACTGCCTGGGCCGCTGTCAGAATACTGGCTTCAAGGAGGAGATGGCGGCTAACGTGCTGCTGTGCGGTGGCTGTACCATGCTGGACGGCTTCCCTGAGCGTTTCCAGAGGGAGCTGAGTCTCCTCTGCCCCGGGGACAGCCCCACGGTGGTCGCTGCTCCCGAGAGGAAGACGTCAGTGTGGACCGGCGGCTCCATCCTGGCCTCGTTGCAGGCCTTCCAGCAGCTTTGGGTCAGCAAGGAAGAGTTTGAGGAGCGCGGCTGCGCAGCCATCTACAGCAAATGCTAAGGGGCGGGCCCCACTGGCAAGAGCTGGAGAGCAGAGCCCCACCCCCTGGGGGCGACTCTACCTTTACAGAATTTCACATTAAAGTTTAACCTATAACGGTCGTGTCTGGTCTGGAGTTCTTGATAGAATCCGATAGCGGGTGGGGACAGGTTGAGTTTAGAGTTAACTGCCCTCTTCTTGAGTGTCCGTAAGTGGGTCAGTACAGTCGTCAAAAGGGAGATGAGACAAGATGGATGCCGGACTGTCTTAAAACTGCTGTGGCAACGTTTCTTTCCAGAAAGGAAGGCACATGTACACGTTAGCAACACCACATAAGCGCAAATACACATGAATACGCAAATACAGATGATAAAACTATAAAAGCGAGTAAATTATAAGATAGAAAGATATGACATGCAAACTTTAAAAACTCACTGGATGAGCGGGGCGGTGGTGGCGCACGCCTTTAATCCCAGCACTCGGGAGGCAGAGGCAGGCGGATCTCTCTGAGTTCGAGGCCAGCCTGGTCTACAAGAGCTAGTTCCAGGACAGGAACCAAAAAAAGCTACGGAGAAACCCAGTCTCAAAAATCAAAAAAAGAAAAAAACAAAAAACAAACAAAAAAAACCCTCACTGGATGGACTCAGACCCTTGGTAGAGGACAGATCAATGTAATTTCACTAATAGAAATGGATATAAAGAAAATGTCCCTTTTAAATGAATGGAGGCAGGGTGGGGAGAAGGTTCATCAGGTAAGGTGCTTGATGGCAAGTCTGACGACCCCTGTTTAAGCCTCTGGACCCATAATGTGGACGGAGAGAACCAACTCCTGCAAGTTTCCCTTGGACCTCACACATCCCACCCACTTTGCCATGTGTATGTGCGCATTGCACAAACACACACACACACACACACCGCAAAAATATGGAAATAAATGGGAAGTAAAAAATAGAGTCCTATGGAACAGTACCAAGAAATTAACATTCTGGCCATCAAAATTAGAATGAAAAAAGAGAAAAGGAGACAGCTTAGTTCAGCTAAGGAAGCTGTAGTGGGGGCTAAGAGGCAGGGCAGCGGACCACATGGCTGATACACACACACACACACACACACACACACACACACACACCGCCTTGCAGCCCACTCTCTTCCTCTCTCCAGATTCCTGTGGACTTCTTTCTTCAGCAGCATCAAAGAAGTCCAAAAGGGAAAAGCAAACAATCCAAATTACAGGCTAGCCGAGGAGACCCATTTCTGTGTAAACGTTACCAGTCTGCAGGGAAACAAACACCGTGGAAACATGGAGGCTTTGGTTTGGATCTGAGATAGGCAAGCCGGCCATGCTTATAAATAGCCTCTCATCCGCCCAGTGGAGCCTCTTCTCTGTGCCTGAGAGGACGGGGGCTGGGCAAGCTACCCGCATGGGGCTGCTCAGAAAGCCATCCATCCAGGTCCCCTCCATACTCATTAACTTCAGGCAAAGCAGACGAAAACAAAAGATACGACCAGCGGAGATGGGTCATCTACAAAAGGCTGGCCCTGGGAGGGTTTCGTAGGGCCCTAGAAAGTGCTAGTGGTGACATTTCAAGTGGTGTCTCTGCGGGCACTTGCTGACCGTCACAATAGGAGTCCACAGAGTGTCCCCTTTACAGAAAGAAGCTATGAGACAGCGGCATGTCTTCTGGGGGCTTGGGAGCCGAAAATGGTTGGGCCGAGAGGGGTCCTGT